ATTATAACGTGTAGACATTTGTAATTTGGTTTGAATTTAGTAGTAGTAGTACTTATATTATGCAATGCTAACAACTTCCAGCGATTAATCTAATCCCAATTCTATTCTCTACTGATCGAGTGATCTGAATACAATTACAACATACAGCTCTTTTATACAATAACACACGGACCCCACGCATATGCATTTTAAAGTTTCCCTGCCTAGCTGCCAAAAGGGCGCGTTTCAGCATTATTTCATTACTCGCATTACTCGTGATGTTTCTTGCGCAAACAACTAAATTGCGTACACAACTTTACATTATCATAACTTAAACTATCTAATTTGCGCCGCTCTTGTTAGTCGTGAAGCATAATAAAGGGCATAATACCAGCAAAAAAGGGCATAATTCCCGTGATCGCTTCGAAACCTGACCAATATTCCGGTGATGAGACATTGCGTGTGATCACAGTTCATGTTTCTATATGAACAATTTCGTGTGAGCCGTGAGGTAGCAAATTAGCAAATACGGTTAGACAAAATAGTCTGTATAATTTAATATATCACTTTGTCGTCTATTCGCTTAGTCTGTTTTATAAGCCTATAAACACATCTTTTCTCGGTGGAAGTAACTATATTTTTTCGAATGCGTTTTTTCCCACCCACTTTCAAAACTCGGCGCGGGATCGGCGCCCCTTTTTCATTTTGGCGCCCTGCAAGAATTGCCAGCTGAGGGGGGCATGGCCCCCCGGCCCCCCTACCAGCACGCCACTGCTCGTAAGTCGATTTGTTATAGGTTACGTTACAGCCTGAGTTAATAGTACATGCTCCAAATACAGTAAAACTAAAAAATATAGATTAGCGAAATAGCGAAATAGTTCGCTACATTTTTTAAGCAGTAGCTGTAGTCAGTAGCGAACTACCTTTGTTCAAAAGTAGCAGTAGTTGTAGCTGACTACATATTTTTGAAGTAGCTGTAGTTATAGCGAACTACAAAAATTTTGTAGTCAACCCACCCTTGCATGTAACTTAACGTTTAGTATGCATGATCGAACTTGCGGTTAGAGCTCGACAACAGGACTCTCAATTGGTTATAGCGCTGCACCGGAATCGCAGGAGCGCAGGTTCGATTCCTGGCGGAGGGCGTATAGTTGCATTTTTCGCAACTGCTCCTGGAGTCCTGGTTAGGTCTAATATAAATGTATAAAATTTACACTCGAATAATTTTCCATCTACGAAACCCTTCTAAAATATAAAACCAATCTTCACTTTCTGAACTCTCTCATTCCGTCCGATTTTCTGACACACCATCAGCTAAATTCGATCAAAAAATTAACGGTGATATGATACCCATCGAAATGCCAGCTGCTTCGTATGTGATATATATATATATATATATATATATATATATATATATATATATATATATATATATATATATATATATATATATATATATATATATATATATATATATATATATATATACCGGGTGTCCCAAAAAAGGGTACTCCGGTTTGATTTATAATAACTTCTAAACAAGTAAAGCTACCAAACAGAAATAACTTGCATTAAATAGAGGAAGGACTAACTTAGATTTTGATATATTACAGTTGTATTTTACTTAAAAAGTGACGGAGATATCAATGTTCAAAATCGGGAGCATATTTTGGGATGTGTCTAAAATTAGCGAAAATCGGCATATCAAATATTAATTCCAGCGTTTGTTTGCTTAATGACATATCCGGCTAACTTGTATTTCAGCGAATTGTCGTTAGGGTTTGTAAGGGATATGGCGTAGATTTAGACATCTTACATGTAAGTATTAACTCATTGTTTCCTGAAATATGAATGTTCAAAATTATGCAAGTATTTAATAGGTCTTTGCAAATTTGAAGGTACATGAAAGACCATGCAAGGCAGGCGCTTAAATTTTTCTTAAATAGCCTAATTTTTATATGTTTTTCATGGGTTCAAAACAAAGTTGATTATTTCTCGGTTAGAGCAGGATGAATATTATTCTTTAATGAAGGAAATAATATTGCTTTTTGCAAATACACATCACAGTATCAACGCTACTATTTTGTTACGTTTTGTTCCAAAAATGTTGGACGTCTCTGGGGAGTTGCTTGTTATGTCTTTACTTATGGAGTTGTATGCCTGGTTTGATTTTGTTTCATTCTCAGTTTATTCTGAACTTGCCAAGATTAAGAAAGGCAAAAGAGTTTGGGTGTTCTTAACAAGATTTCAGAACGTTGCAGAAGTTAGAAAATTCATTCAATGTGAAGTTAGAAAATTCACAATTCCATTGTGACAGCTAGCATGCCCTAATTCAGAACTAAGAACGAACGATCCATGATGATCCTTCGTGATGCAGTGGTCTCATGAAATAAGGAAACGTATTCGTGCCAGGAGCACACGCGGATTTCGGACGAATAAATTTTGCTTGTATAATAATACTTTGTTTCATAATAAACAATTTGTCAAGTGTAATTTATTTACTGGTAATAGTGCATGTTTCAGTCGGGCAAATCTTGGTTAATATTTGATACGCCGTTTTTTGCATATTTCAGACACATCCAGGAATATGCTCCCGATTTTAAACACTAATATCTCCGTGAATTTATATATATATATATATATATATATATATATATATATATATATATATATATATATATATATATATATATATATATATATATATATATATATATATATATATATATATATATATATATATATATATATATATACCGGGTGGCGCATAAAAATGTTAACCTGTTTGATTTGTTTTAACTTAAAAGCTAAAGGAGCTATTACACGTGAATTACGTGCATTGCATTCAGTATTGTCTTACTTAAATTTTGATATACGCCCTGTGCATTTTCGTGCAATATTGACCGAGAGAGCTGCGTTTAAACTTGAGTAACCATTTTTGAAAGTGTCGAGAATTAGCCAAAAACGGCATGTCAAATATTTAATACAGCAATAACCTGTGCTTAGATGCTATGCCTATAGTCAGAATAAAGTACACGTTCGTTGTCAGAGACTTGCGCAAAGCCGCCGGTATAACCTCAGGAGTATTATTTAGCCTACCCTTGCATATTCTAAAGATATCGAAACTTTTTGGACCTTCGTTAAACAAAGCGTATTTATATACAAATAGTTGACGTTTCTTTCTTGAAAATTAGAATTTGATTCCCCAGGGTCATTGAATATTTAGAATAAATCTTTTAAAATCAAAATCGCTTCATAATTTAATTTTCATGCATTCCCAATGACCTTAAACAAAACTAAAGGAGCACATCCATCCAATAAACATTTTCAATTTAAATTTCACTTCATTCAAACGAATATTCACGATAAAATGGTAACAGTTATCAAATTAGTTTGACAGGCTGTTTTTAGCTGATTCTCGACACTTCCCAGCTGACAAATAATAATGACTAGGTAATTGACCAACTGAAAAAGCAAATGTCCGATGGAAGTTCCACTTGTCCATTGGATCCAATGGACACACAAAACTCCAGTGGACATTTCCAGGTCCATTGAATTCATTGGATCCAATGGACACTTTCGTTTGGCTATCTCACTGGCGTTGTATCTACATGATGTCCATGTGCTTGTCATTACGTCACTCAAATACATGGTAATTGACCAACTGAAAAAGCAAATGTCCGATGGAAATTCCTCTTGACAATGGATCCAATGGACAAACAAAACTCTAATGGACATTTCCAGGTCCATTGGATCCATTGGATCCAATGGACACTTTTGTTTGGCTATCTCACTGGCCTTGTATCTACATGACGTCCATGTGCCTGTCATTACGTCACTTAAATACATGGTAATTGACCAACTGAAAAAGCAAATGTCCGATGGAAATTCCACTTGTCCATTGGATGCAATGGACACACAAAACTCTAATAGACATTTCCTGGTCCATTTGACAAATGGAATGTCTAATGGCCTTTTGATTTTTCCATCGGACATCTTGCATGGGTATTGGACATTAATCATATTTTAACATGAAATATTACTAATTGATCAACACTGAACCACAGAATACTACACAGAAGTCCATCTCCATTTTCTTTTTTATGCGTAAGCTCTATTAGTAATGATTCGTCAAGAAGCAGTCCCCCCTGTAAATGCTAAAACTGGCGCTCGTCCAGGAGGGGGGGGGGGTGACTGTACTGTACTTGCTTGGTGACGAATCGTGATGAATAACGGTTCTGTAAAAAATAATGGAAATGGACTTCTGTCTAGTATTCTGTGACTGAACGCATGCTCCCAATTACATCAGCGTTGCCATGGCAACACCATAATTTTAATTTTTATTATACTTTAATAATAATAATAATAATAATAATAGTTTATTAGAATTCCACACAAGTGGCTCTTCTATGCTAAATACAAAAGGAGAACGAAATTACAATACAATACTACATGCACCTATGCCTATGGTAAAAATAATTATATATACAATATATATTCATAATATGAATATTGTAAAGTTAGGCTTATTCGTCATTATCTGCATTGGCCAATGTCATGAAAAGATTTTTGCACAAAGAATGAAATTCACTAGCCGTATTACAAGTCCTAATTTCAGCTGGAAGGCTATTAAATATTTTCGATGCTGTATGCTGAGATGTCCGACAACACGTAGTGCGTTCCTTTCCCCGGGTGTAAATAACCGTCCGGAATTAGCACCATCCTGCCGGCCTAACGCCCACAACGGCGCTCCAAGCTGTTGGCTCGGGGAAACGTGTTCTTGATAGAAAAAATCACGAATAATTAAATTCCGACAAGCCATAAAATGATAAGTTAAGAGCAGCTGTTCCAAAGTTTCGTCTGCGGTATACATTCGCATTTTAAAAATGCTTATATTGTTAGAAATAGTTTACAATTGGTAAAAACATCCATTGCAAAAGGGTCATTCAAAACCAATTGTTAACAATTGTTTTTAAAGATTTCATATTTGTCCTCTCGTGGAGATGTCCTCATGCAACCGAGTCACACATGCGGTCCTTAGGAACGGGAAACTGATATTAATTTTGTTTCTTCCTCAGATGTCATGTATAATTGTATTCCCTTTTGTTATTTATTTTAGACCATGCATAAAGTTAAGATGTTAAGTAAGAAAGTTCATATATTAGAAAAGGAAGTCAGGATTTTAAACATGACAATGTGGCAACATACCAAAGATAATGGAGAAAGTAAGTACAGCTTCCGCACAAAAAATAACGCATGAAACTGTCCTTGCAGCGGAACATATATATATATATATATATATATATATATATATATATATATATATATATATGTAAAAAATTTCAACTTTTTGAAAACTTTGTATAGCTACCGTATAAATCATATAATTACTAGATTACATTGGTGTCGAATGAACTACATTCTGTTCCGAAATATCACTTACTCGAACCGACCTGACCGCGTAGCTCAGTTGGCTAGTATTCCAAAGGTCGTAGGTTCGATTCCCACCGTGGCGTGACATATTTTTCAAGCTCGCTCGGTGTGGATATACGCTCAGAGTAACATCACAAATATCATATTCACCTGAGTACAGAACATGCACCAACACAGAAAAAATCATGCTACTTGATTTGTATTAATTGTGAAAAAGCAGAAGAGGCAGACTTATACCGCAATAAAATTGACAATATAGATTTTGACAATTAGCTACGCGACATCTATTGTCTTCATTATGTAGTTATGCAATTATGCGATTGCTATGAGATGTCTCTATAAATCACTAAATTCTTACTAATCTCTGTAAATTTCTTAAAAGTACATTTGCTTGCAGTTTGGATCACATCATCAGGTAGACAAGTGCCACTCACTGCCGTTACCCAGCTGTATAAGAAACTAAGCCTAGCATATATAATAAATTTTTTGTATAGATCAATCAGTAAAATTATTGAAGGAGACTGTCTTAAAGAATGAACTTGGTTTGAAGAAACTGACAAATTTTATAAATTCCAGATTTCCTACAAATAAGGTAAGGTTTTTGTAAAGCATTATGTTATGTTTACTATTAATATTTGTTACCAATGACTGATGGTGCGCTATTTAATTTACAATCATTGTTCTACTGTAAATCTACTGCGTATGTATGTAGCTTGGTTCCTATCAACATCCTGGACGGTCGTGCTCTGATATTAAGAAATGGTCTAATGAAACATCTTTGGTTGATGGAGAATATTGGATTAGTTTGGGAAGGAGTAAGACTATGAAAACATTTTGTGATATGAAATCCAATGGAGGTATGACTATTAACGTAGCCGTCGCGCGCGCAATTCTCACCTTCTCTTGCTGCAAAGGCTTTCATCTGCATTTAGTGCGTATATATATATCAATTATTGAATGAGCTTGCGGATGATATCAACAATTGTCAAGGGCTCTTGTGTTATCTTTCCACGCCGAGACGGAAGCTTAAGTATGTAAAACAAATAGATAGATTAGGCACTTATTTCTTCATATAATCCCGTGCAAAACCGAATTCAATAATTGTATTGTTACATATTCATCTAAAATATATCATGCGCAGTTCAAATTCTTCAAAACAATGACGAGTTCTTAAACGTTTTTTGCAGGAAATGTGTTCTTTCTTTCTAATAGACGCCAAAAATGTTTGAGAGTTGTTGTCGTGCAATCTAATATTTTTATGTTTTATTTTTTCCCCACATTTTCTTCCCTTAGGCCCGTTTCATACGCCGTACTTCACATGTGCCGAATACATTAAAAACAATAGGTAATGAGGCATTTCAGCTCATTATCTATTGTCTTTAATGTATTCGGCACATGTGAAGTACGGCGTTTGAAACGGGCCTTAGGCCGAAGGCGACGCCATTTAGTTTCTGTTCGTTTTTCCACTTTGTAGCAATAGCATTACGTCATAGCGTGCAATAATTCTCGATTTCACGCCAAAAATAATAAATTAAAGAGACAACACAATTATTTGTTTAGCCATTGTTCGGTTACTTTTTTGACCGTTTCGCTGTTTGCCACTTCAGAAATCACGATTTCTTCGATCTATATAAATATAATAGTTACTAAAAGAGCATTAACTTATCTTTAAAGGTGGTTGGACTTTGGTCAGTAGCATTGTACTTCAGAATTCACATGGTTTCGATTGGTCTGTCACCAAAGACTACAATAAAATAAGTGATTTCAGGGGAAATAAATTGGTGCTTTCTACTCAAGCACTTGGTGCCTTAAGACAACAAATGCCATTCAAGCAGCTAAGATTCTTCTGTCGAAAAAAGATACCTGGCCGTACTTTTGATATTGCAACTGAAACAAACACACTTGGTGAAAATGTTATAAAATACTTCACCGCTAAAACCAATACGCTCCCGAAATCTTGTGGATCTTACTATCGTCTATCCGATGACAATTCAGTGATGGCTAAAGATTGCCAAAACTGGGGATACGAAGCCGGGAAGTACATCAGGGGAAAATGGCATCATGCAGGTATGCCTGTTGACGACCGCTTATACAATCACCCTGCATTCAGCTACCTCAAAGGACTTTGGTTTGTTTCTCATTCTGCGAGAGGTCGTTGGGAATGTGACGATTTTTACCGTCATAAGGGTTATATCAGATCAGCTGGAGATTTTTGGAAAATCTTTGTGCGCTAGGGAATCTACACACTTCTCAGCACCGTCTGTATAGTTATATTATTGAATTCTATATTAACAGTACAGAGATAACATTTGTAGGCATCAATAAACTTACTTGGCACAATTTTCAGTTTTCTCATGCACGTGACCGCGGTTAAAATAAAATCATGGTGATTAATAAATCTTTTTGTGTAAATTAACGGATAAGTTTATCAGTATGGATAAATATTCGGAGTTTGGGAATCTTGCTCGATCGAAATATGTTGAAGGTGTTTTTTAAAGATTTTGCTGGGAGATTTGGAAGATAAAAAGTTCGAGTGTAAATCTTATGCTACCGCGATTATAGAGCAAATTAAGACTGATTTAGACTGCAGATGCAATTTCTTCATCTGAGCAGAGGCGCCGGAGAATCGATAATAGAGGGGGCAGATATTCATATATTCGTATTCACAGACTGTAAAAACAATCGATTTCAAAAGAAATTAATTGGGCAGAACACGAATATATGAATATCTGCCCCCCCCCTCCCCCCCCCCAAATTATCGATATTCCGGCGCCTCTGCATCTGAGTTGCATTGTACATGTGTAATTCATGCAAGTATACTTATATACGACAACTTAGGCAAGTTGTCTGCTTGACCTACAGATACAATTCAAGTTGTAAGGAAGTTGCTTGCGACAGCCGGCAAACAGTGTGTAGTGTGAATTGGCCTTTTGGAATAGCTGTGAAAAATGCAAGTGTATAGGCCAACCAGGACCAGTGGCTGCGGAACGGGAGGTTAGTAAACTATAGCCGGCTCCAAAAAACAAAAATGGGGGCCAAGCCTCCTAAAAATGAATAAGATTAGAGTTTTTGAAGTTTATGTACAAAAATTAGGCAAATTGAAAGAAAAAAATCGGGAAATCCCCCCTCACCATAATTTTCGGGAATTTTTTTTATATATTGGACAATTCATGGAAGCTAGCCCCCAGAATAACAAATATTCCGCCGCTACTGGGCCGACGGCCAGGAATGAAACCTGTAATGTGGTCCTACGATTCCGATATACAGCGTTCTAATCTACAGAGCTACATCGAGAATCATGTTGCTGAGCATTAAATGACTTCATATACCGGGTGTCCCAAAAACAACTTGCGCTGTTTGATTTCATGTAACGTAAAAACTGTGAAACCTACTACACTCAAATAATTTTTTTTTGTATTCAGGAAAGGCTAACTTAGATTTTTATATATAGCCCTAAAAATTCCTTATAATATTACGTGAGATACAAATGTTTGAATTTGGCGCACGTTTTAAAAATGAGTAAAAAATTCGAGAAAAATGACTGATCAAATTTATATGAAAACAATTGCCATTTCCTACACAAATTAACAATTTCAATTTTAGAATTTCAAATCAACTTTAATTTTGAGTAATTTTCGTGTTTCTTGGGAAGCAAAATAAGCATGATACAAGTAATAACGTTCGAGATAATATTTAACGTCCTTTGGGAGTTTGTATGATAAAGTTAATTGGTCTTTGTTCGCCTTTCGAATATATAAGATCAAAGAGTTTATCTGCAGGATGTCTAAGAAAAAACCGCTACGAAAATTCAACAGGCTGTCATGCATCACAAACGTGGCTGAACAATTCAATTTTTACATATAGAGGACGAAAGAACAGTTATCTAGCTTTTCAATGATACTCTTTTTAAATCGTAACGAGGAGAAATGGCCACGTACTCGCCAAATAAAAATTGCCGGTCGTAATCACTTTCTTCCACCGTTTGGAGTTGGAAAGAAAACGAACAATAAACAATTCCCAAGAGGGAATTAAAATTGAATGTTAAATTATCTAAAATAAGCTCAGCTCATCAATCTTTGTCTTAGTGAGACCATAAGAACGTCCATGCATTATTGCATTAAATATAATGCCATTAACATGCACTGAACAGAACAGAGAACATTCGTAACCAAAACGTTTTACGAAACAATTAAGTACCTTGCAGAAGGCTTGCGCTGCTTTTGGATTGATTAACTTTGCATAATTAATGTACTTTCAATTCCCAACGGTGGAAGAATGTGATTTCGACCGACAATTTTATTTGACAAGTATGTGGCCATTTCTCATTGTTACGGTTCAAGACAGGTATCATAGAAAAGATAAATAATAGCTCTTTCGTCCAATATAAAAATTTAACGGTTTAGTTAAGTTTGTGATGCACAACAGTCTGTTGAATTTTCATAGCGTCTTTTTTTAAACACCCTGTATAGCTTCATGTTGAAAAATTGTCAATGTTGTCGGAATCTTCAAGGTGAAGCATCGCAAAAAGTGATACGGAAATCGGGAAAAGTGCTACGAAAGCAATTGTAATGTTATTGTCCTGACAATTTATTTACCAAAAAGTTGTCGACGGGGGGGGAGGGGGGGGGGCTAGATTTAAAATGTTGTGGTCCGAAATTTTTTTGGCCCCACCTGCGTTTTTTCTGGCCTCCTCCCCTCTTGACCAAAAATCCTAGCTACGCCTTTGCAGTGCATGCACATACAATCAGGAGCAAAAATTATTGAGACAACCGCATAAATGCCCCGCTCACCCCCAATTCAATGTTGTGTGGATGACTGAAAAGAGAAAATTCAACCCACTTTTTCCAACGTTGATCATTGGGGAGGGAGGAAGCCGACGTACTTTAAGATGGCCAAAAATGTGAAAAGTCTGATTATTTTTGCACGCGATTGTCTAAGATGGAGCTGTCTGGGGTTAGCTGTCCAAAACTTGAAATTTTGCTAAAATCTAGCGATCAATTAATATGACATGAGATTGACATATTTCAATCAATTAACCGAATTTTTTTGTCCCCAAAAATGTAGAAATTCTGCAAGGAGGCTGCGCGGGGGGGGGGGGACGGGCAAAAAGAAAGCAGTTTTCCTAGCGAATTTAATTTTTTACTGTTATTTACTAACTAGAAAATAATCTTTGGGAAATTAAATAGACAAGTTGTAGACTAAACACGATCTATTAAAATAGATTGCGATATAGTAACAACACATCCAACAACCCATAAAAATCTAATGTAGTGTTTAACTACTCTTACGTCCTTTCAAGCTCAATTAGCCATCATTTCCTCAGGAGGGAATATTTATATGAGAGTTCATCAGCCTAGCCATATGATCAAAAATGAGAAAACTTTGTCATTTATACTGCAGTATGTGCTGTTGTGCTTGTGGGATGTTCACGAACTAATCTAAAGTGATTAGTTCATGTAAATTTTATGCACTTGGCTTCATTAAGCAAACGCTGACACGTTACACACACGTTACACACACGTTGCACTACACGTTACACCTACTTTACATAATAATCTAAAGTAATATATATAGAAATATGACACGTTACACACGTTAGGGAGCAGTCATTAATAGAGAGTTTGGGAACGCGACGGAAAGTGGCGACGGCGACGTCTGTGACCGAGCAGGCGCCTGGGAACGAATACGTTGCAGAAATGTCGCCGTTACCACCAGAATTCTGTTTGGCTACTGTTCGGCGGTAAAATTTAAAACTTTTGTAAATTCAAAATGGATGAAATTTTTGACACTTTCCTTTTGTCGTACGATGATGGTTTAATATCAGACGAGGAGCTTTTACTTCTCCAAGATTACTTATGTATATCGCCAAATAGGCACTCAAATTTCCCTTATCGGGATTATAATCCATTTGACTCGGAAAACCTTGACGAACTTACTTGCAAAGTTGAGTTTCGGTTTGACAAACAAGACATTCCAAGATTGCAAGAAGCGCTTCAATTTCCAGAAATGATTTCCATCCCACATGCTACAGACTGTCCTGGATTGGAAGCTTTGTGCATATTGCTCAAAAGATTTGCTTACCCAGTGCGATACTGTGATATGGTTCCCATGTTTGGCCGATCAGTGCCTGAACTATGCAAGATTACTCAATATGCAATCAATCATATTTACAACAACCATGGTTTCAGATTACAAAGCTGGAATCAACCATTTCTATCTCCAGAGAATCTGGAATCCTATGCAAATGCAATTCATGTCAAAGGTTCCCCTCTTCTAACATGCTTTGGTTTCATCGATGGCACAGTTCGGCTAATTTGTAAACCAGGTGTTAATCAAAGAATTATTTACAATGGTCATAAGCGGCTACATGCCATCAAATTTCAGAGTATATGTATTCCGAATGGTCTGATAGCAAACCTGTCTGGACCATGGGGTGAGTTAGCACTTTTTTGACATTTATATTGCCAATAATCAGTACAATGATGTTTTCTGTTATAAACTGTTAATATATAAATTTTGAACAAAGTCATTCAATTCAATAATTTAATTATATATTTTGTTTTGCTTTGCTTTAGAGGGAAGAATGCATGATGCACGTATACTTGGAGAGTCAGGCTTGATGCAAGACCTCAGGCAGGATGCATTTGCACCAGACGGCACCCCATTATGTCTATATGGTGACCCAGCCTACCCATTGAGGGTCCACCTCCAGCAACCATTCCGAAATAATGCCGCATTAACAGAAAATATGAGGCAATATAACAAGGCAATGAGCAGTGTACGAGTCAGTGTGGAATGGTTATTTGGAGAAATAACCAAATATTTTAAGTTTGTAGATTTTAAAGTGTCTATGACACGAAATTTCACCCCAAATGTTTATGATTACATTGTAAAGATAACTTAAAATGACTTAATAATTTCTTTTATAGAATTTTGGTAACTTGCTCCCTTTTCAAGATATTCAACTTTGTTTCATATGCAAATATCACCGGTGTGACATCACATCGCATGACATTTTGAAAACGCAATATTCTACCTTGATAAAATATTTTTACAAGCAAATACAGTGGGTTAATTACCAGTTATGAAATTAATACATAATACAAGGGCAATTTTAAAGTTTCTTAGACACGTATTTGTCAAGAAAACTATACTTTTCTGAAAACTCATTATGTGATGTGATGTCACACCGGTGATATTTGCATATGAAACAAAGTTGAATATCTTGCAAAGGGAGCAAGTTACCAAAATTCTATAAAAGAAATTATTAAGTCATTTTAAATTATCTTTACAATGCAACCCTAAACCTTTGGGGTGAAATTTCGTGTCATAGGCACTTTAAGGAACAACTTAAAATACGGTTAAGTCCCATTGGGAAAATTTACATTGTATCTGCCATATTGCAAAATAGTTTAGCTTGCTTGTATGGTAACATTGTATCTGAATATTTTGAAATCAACCCACCAACACTAGAAAACTACTTCTGGAGAGCTGATGCATAGTGTCCACATGTAATTAATGATAATACTCTATCAAACATAGTATATTGCAAGACAACAGTATAGTAACATTGCATTTGCGTGAAAGATATAATTATTGTTTATAAATTGGATCCATACAACCAGAATCAAAAGTAATTCAAAATTAAATTTTCTGAACCAATAACTTTTATTTTCAATTTACATATACAACTATAAAAATATTAATATAATAAAGTATAGCATGCAACTTGTCCTGTAAAATATCCAAACAAAATTCAAAGGCCAGAAGTAGCCTGTCCGTATTCAATAAACATGAAGAATGGTCAAACACATAAAGGAATGTACTTACAGTTCTTGTACAGTTAACGATTTTTTGCAAATTCAAGCAAAGTTTTCAACAAGTTTTGATTTTGTTGAGTTTGTGCTTCAAGCTCCTTGCTCCTTATTGCTAACTCTTGCTTTCGAACTTCCAGTTCTTTAGTTTTATGTTCAAGCTCTTTATTTCTATACTCAATATCCTGATTCACTTTATCTCTTAGAAATTCTACAATAGCTGTTTTCTTGGCTCTGAACGAATCGTTTCCTGATGCTTTTCTTTTTGCTGTTTCTCGAGCAGTTTCAAGTGCGACCAGTCTGGCATCTTCTGCTTACTTCTGTCCTCATCTTTAGCAGTTTTTTCCTTTTCTCGTTCCTCTTCTTGACTCTCAAAAAGAGCAACAGCATTAATTTCCTCTCTCTCCTTCTTTTTGTATTTTTTTGCTAACAAGTTATAGCGATCGCGTACAGCCCTGATGTCCTTCAAGTTGAAGACTATATCTGCTCTTGAATTTAAATTGTCGACGATTCTTTCCCAAACTAGTCCTATTCGCCTCGAACCTTGAGGATTATCAAAAGGACGTTCTGTTAAAATTTCTTTAATCAACTCGAGGTCATGTTTATCAGTCCACTTCATCACTTTGATCATGACTTGAGATTTACTGCTAAACAACATAAAACTTGAGTTAAATTACCGAAAGTTGGTTAAACAGAATATCGTTTACGTAAAAAAGCTTACCTTTGCTTGTTCGTTTTGGCCATCATGCAGAAAAAGGCACAAAAACCAGACGTTGTCAGCACAACGTCAAATCACTCAACTGAAGTTGTCAGCACAATGCCAAATCACTCAAACTGGCGTTGTCGGGAGAACGCCAACGTCCAGACAACGTATATTTGTGACTTAATTATGTAAAATTATGCAAGTCCCAGGTCGCCGTCGCCACTTCCCGTCGCGTTCCCAAACTCTCTAATAATTGGAGGGGGGCTGATATTCATTCGTTCACAGACCATAAAAACAGTCAATTTCAAAAGAAATTAATAACACAGAACACGAGTATATGAATTGATAAATCAGCCCCCCCCCCAATTTTCAAGCTTGCTACGGCACTGGGTATGTCTTACATTGTAATTATATGGTATATTTATTTATTTATTTATTTAATTTGCCAATAAACATTAAAACACAGAAAATACATATATGGACAATGGCAGGGAACACGCTACAGCTTACGCCAATTACAGCGGCCCTTACATATAAGATACAACATCACAAACACATTAAACTAATAACAACACGATACTTCACAGGACAGATTACGGGACTTGTTACAGGACAAACATAATGATTTCCATGTTCTTGGATCATCCACGTCGTAGACCATTTGTAATGCTACTTTATAGTACATAAAAAGTCCATTTTTAAACTGACTAAGGCTGGTATTATTGCCTGTCAAGTTCTTTGGCAGTACATTCCACATTCTGGTACATCTATTTAAATAGGACTTTTTTAAATTTTTTTTATTTAAACATATTTTATTACAGGCATTTTCTCCAAGAGCATAGCTCATCAAGGGAGATTATGTCGGATTATTTACAAACTTTAGGTTACTCACATCAAGACAAAGAGGATTACATAGAAAAAAAAGATTACATCAAAACAAATTGAATAATCATAGTGTGGAAGAACTTCTGGTATTCATTCTCAAGCTTTCCATGAAACATATTATTATAAGAAATTTATATGGAAGAATTTACCACACCAATGTTTTACAGACCAATGTTTTACAAAACAAGTTCCAATAAAAAAAAAACAAGAAAAAAAGTTACTCCGCCTGAAACCGTTTTGTATTTAAAATAAATAATTGGACATTTTGCATAAATTTTACATTATCTTCATGTCCAAGATTTTCTGAACCATGCAAAAGTATTTCAATTTTCCGATTCTCTGATAAATTCATCCACATAGGATGGAGCAGCCGCGCAGGAAGTGAGAGCAATTGTTCACGTTGGGCAGCAAATCGAGAACAATATAAAAAGTAATGTTTGACAGTTTCCATTTCACCCCATCGACATACACAAAAAGGGGAATTTGCACAATTAATTCTATATAGGTGAAAATTAAGCGCACAGTGACTGAGCCTGGTATGGAGTATTGAGCTATATCTACTTAGTGATGCATTGTATTTTACGTTATATTTTTGTCCACAATACATATTACATAAGGTAACTTTAAAGGAAGATAGTGTCTCTATATTTCGTAAATCTGGATCAAGATCATTCCAGGCAGTTATTGCCGATGGAAAGAAAGATTTTTTAAATCGTTCAGTTCTCACAGGTATATTAGTTAAATTATCGTTAGATCTTAGAAAGTAACTGGATCTTTGGTTTACATATGGAGGCAAAAGATCACAAAGGTAGGATGGTGCAGTGCGGGTAACAGTTTTATAAAAAAAGGATAGTTTATGAATATGTCTCCTAGTTTTCAAATCCTCCCAACATAGTTCATCCAATAAACGATTTCTGTTTGTTCCCCTTATTGCACCAGTAACAATGCGAGCTGATTTGTACTGAACTGCTTCTAAAAGATTTGCTTCCTCTATACTACATCCATCCCATATTACATCTGCATATTCCATTAAGGGTCTAATCAGACTTTTATATAAGCATATCAGTGTTGACCTTTTAAGCTTATATTTAACCCTTTTTAATGCGTTCATTCTTTTACTAGCTTTTTGATGTATGCTTAGAATATGTTTTGACCAAGAGAAATTTGACGTAAATGTTAAACCTAAATGAGAATGAGAATCAACTTCGCGTAATGCAGTGCCATTTAAGTATAAGAAAGGCTGAGGAAGTCGGTTATGTTTCGTTGAAAATGTAATGCTTTCTCACTTAGTAGGATTCAATTCCATCAACCATTCCATACACCATTGGTTAATGCTATTGAGATCCTCGTTTAGTCTAGAATCAAAAGATGATAAATTATCAACAATTTCAAGTAAAGATGTATCATCAGCGTAGAGAAAACAGTCAGATACAATATTGCTAGAAATATCATTTATGTATATTAGAAAAAGCAATGGCCCGAGCACTGAAACTTGTGGAACACCAGCTTCAACACTAAGCCAGCTCGAGCATTGCCCCTCAATGATAACTCTTTGTTTTCTATCAGACAAATAACTACAAAACCAGCTTAAAAGTGGGTCTTTTACTCCAAGAGATTTTAATTTATACAATAAACCTTTATGCCATACTTTATCAAACGCTTTGCTAAAATCTAAAAACACCATACGGACTTCTTTACCCATTTCTAGAGCTTCATAGATCTTATGAACTATATACGTAAGTTGGTTCACAGTGCTGTCTCCTGGTCTAAAACCGGACTGAAAATCATTAAGGAATCTAATTTCTAATAAAAATTCATATAGTCTAGTGAATACAATTTTTTCTGGTATTTTGGATATAGACGGTAAAAGTGATATGGGGCGATAGTTCTTTTTATATTGATGATCATCTTTTTTATAGACAGGAGTTACATTTGCTTTTTTCCATTCAGTTGGATACTCTCCTATTCGGAGACTTGTGTTAATTAAACATGTAAATGTTTTGGCAATTCCACGGCTACATAATTTAATAATTCTATTGCCAATACCATCATGACCGCTAGCTTTTGTAATATCAACTTTATAGAGGAGATTAATCACTTCTTCTTCTGTTGTTTGAACTATAGACAACGTTTTATCTGTGTGATTAGAATAATAATCTAGGACTGGTAGTTCATGATATGCGTCATCAACGTTCGCTTCACTTACAAAATATTCATTAAATAAATCCGCTTTTTTTTTGTGCATCGCAAACAATCTGAGATCCCTCCCGTATAACTGGAATTGATACACGGCAATTATTATTAAAAACTGACTTAACATAACTCCACCATTTTTTTTGGCCCAAACGAAAATCTGATAATTGGATATTTAGTTTATCATAATATTTTATTTTTGTTTCTCGAATCAGAGTTGTTGTGTAATTCCTTTGATCTTTATATTTCTTCCACAATAAACGAGTTTTTTTCTTAGAAAATTGCTTTAAAATTCTATTTCTTTTACGAATTGCACTTCTTACAGCGCATGTCATCCATGGTTTATCGTTAGGACGTATTACAACTATTCTATTTGGAATATGCTTTTTAACTGTTGAGTAAAAATAGTCAAACCAATTTTTATAAACATCGTCAATCCCGTTATTTTCTCTTTCACAATTTTCCCAATTAAGATTTGAAAGTTCCTCATTAAGCTGTGCTATATTGATACTGGAGAAATCCCAAATGTGTCGTTTAAAGGACTTTTGCTTATAGTACGGAATTTTCATTTTTGTATAGATTTAGGAGTGATCACAATTCGATGGTGGACTACATGTACCCGAATCAGAAAAATATCGTGGACAATTAGTAATAACAACATCTAATATTGTAGATGTAGTTTCTGTTACACAGGTCGGCTCTCTGATTATTTGATACAGTGCATTGCACTGGAGCCAATGGTTAAAGTGATTACCAAAATAGGACTTTTGGAATGTGGTTGTCTTGCATCGTGTTGTCATGAATGACAAATGGTCAGGATCGGATGATCTTGTTTCCCTTTGGCTGTTGACACTTGTTGGTTGAGGCAGGAAATGTTCGTCAATTCTCATGAGTCCATGAATTAGTTTGTAGAACACAACCATGTCCAGAAATTGATGCCAGTAGCTCAATGGAATAAGCCCTAAATGTGAAAGTCTCTGGTTGTATGTAGTTTCACAACGGAAGGGTAAATCCAAGACGTACTTAGTCGCGCATCGTTGAAGTCTTTCTGTGCGTTGGATTAGATTGATGGTTTGTGGTGCCCAGATTTGTGAACCATAGCATAGCTGCGTACGAACGAGAGTCAAGTATAGAGTGCAGCGAACTGCAATGTCTTTGATGTCGAACGTTGATCTACGAATGTATCCTAGGGTCTTGGAGGCTTTGGCGCACTGGTACTCGACATGTTTAGACCAAGTCAGGCTAGATGAAGTTAATATCCCAAGATCACGCTCACTGTCCGTGCTTCCTAGAATGGTGTCATGCAGCGTATACGGGTAGATGATTTTGTTGTGCTTACGGGTGACTCTTAACACTTCGCATTTGCTTGCATTTAATTCCAGGTTCACGTTGGTCGAGCCTTTCTCAAATTTTGACAGGTCACACTGCAGAGCAGCTGCATCATTTATCATTAAATGAAATCATTATACAGATGCTAGCAAATGGTACAGTGATCACATAGCAAAATAATCACCTGACAAAAATTATTACCCGTGAAGAACAACCCTTGTTGCAAGTGAGACTTTAGATGCAGGTCTATTGCGCGAAACTGCCACAAAGAAAAAGGACAACAGGATCTTATTAAAAATTGTGGCAAAGATTGTGTGGCCATTGAGGTTAAGTACCATAATAAGTGATACAAGAATTATACTAACTATTTGTATGGACAAGATAAGACATGTGAAACAACTTCAATGCTTTTGTACAACATGGGATATGATGATAATCAGAGCGCTACACAGTCCATATTGAGTGAGCTACAAATTCTGTATCATGTTTCTATATTGCTTAAGAAAAAGCTAGCCACTGTGAAGGGTCTTAAGGTCCCTTGGCTACCTGTAGCTAAATAAATAACTTTACTAAATAAATTTCTTGTAAAGAAGTTATTTTATACAGTAAAATTAATAGCGGATTTTCAATGTTCAGTGATATTGCCTGTTGAGTTATGTGCCTGTTGAGTAATAATAAGCTTGTAAGGAGTGATGGCTTGCTTGTGTGGAGCATGTATTGGTAAAATTTGGCCATGTAATATCAGAACTACTCCGATCATGGTAAAATTAGTCTGGCGACATGTGCAACAGATTTAATTTTCTAGGTTTCTTTCAAAGGCTTTAGATGACAGGTAAACAATTTTAATTTTTTAGTCACATTTTAGTTTTCTGACTTGCATAACCACTTTAATTCACACAATGTGGTGCACAATTTAAGGTACTAGTGCAAAATAATGCTGACTCAGCATTTTTTAAAACTGCAACGTGATATCTTGGTAACGAACGACCAAAAGTTATCAGTGTAATATAGTTTTTTGTCCAATTATGCACATCAATCTGATGGCATTAAACATTTTTCGAAATTTTAATATTTTTACCTTTCAGAACTATAGATGACGTCATCGCCAGAGTATAGTAGATTTCTTGTTGTTGTGCACACTTATGACCGGGGGCTTTTTTATTATTTGATTTGGCATGCCCCTCTACTACTTTATGAAAGAAATCATTAGCCTCCCAATGTGCAATGAAAATCACTTTCTAGGCATATTTTTAGCCTTATGTGATGGCTTACATGCAAAAGAATCTGACTATCTGAATGTCGTTGAAATCTGTAAAATATCTGATACATAAAGAGGCATACATAGACAATAGTTTAGATTAAAATTTAATCGAAAAACTCGACTTAAAAAGGCTCGAAAAACAAATGCGGCCAAAATTTCAACATTTAAACAAAAAACTCTTTAAAATGACAGCTAAATATATGAACTTGTACTTAAAATAAGTACACTCTAAAGCAGTTGAGAAAATAGGGGTAAATAGCTACAAAGTATTGTTGAATTTCAATGATTCTGCTTGGAATATTAACAAACATTAATTGTGCATATATTTAAAATAATCGCCTGTCACTTCAGTCATGCTCAAAACAACAAGCTCAACAACAAGTTGAGAAAAATTAAAAATTTTACTGCATGTTTCAGCAGTTTCCAAGAATCTTTGTTTGTGTGTAATCCAGAACCAAAATTAGGCCATTTTGATAAGCTTTTCCCCCTTTAAATGCAGCTTTTAATACTTAAAAATGGCCATTGACTCTCTCGCCCTTCGCCACTTGTTACTACTAGTAGGCTATCACTAATACCCTACTAGTAGCATAGCCAATCAGAACGCACAATACATGATAGCCTACTAATAGGTTTATACTAAACACTTATAGATTTCAGTTATTCATTTAGGTTACAGCACATACTGGAAACACACTCACTGAGATTTCGATAGCTTACATTTTCATACTAAACATGTACCATATTCCCTATATATATAGATCTTTCTAGGTATTTAACAAAATATACCTGTACTATTACCTCTTCTTGCTTGATTTTCTAAGTTAGAAAAATAGAACAAAAGAAGTTATGTATATGCCTGACCTTAACTTTAAAATTGGAAAATGTTTCATGTACAAACAGACAATTGGAGTCAGTTATTCAAAAGCGGGTTGGCCTAATTTTGTGTTTATAAAATTCAAAGGAAACCTTGTTTTATTCGCAAATGGCCCACTTCATGGGGAGCATCAAAGGTTCCGAATGTCAAAAAATGTCTTCTGTACGTGGGGCCTTCACCCAGAAATCAAGACTTTTTAATTAAATACTGCTAAAACAGTTTCAAATACGTTTCAAATAATTATGTATGGATTGCAATGAACTGCTATAGATTGTATTCTTGAGATTGATGGCTTGCAAAATATTGATTATTTATAATTTCTTTAAGACTCCTAACTAGAAATTACTGTCGCAAGTGAAGTGCTGCCTTGCATGCATGCAGTGGAGGCTGATTTATATAAATTCCATATTTGTAATATGCATCAATATGATAATAAGATGGTAATGTGACAAATTTAATACAGGTTAAATTTAATTATTTTATTACATTGGATTGAGCACTGAAACACACTACAGGAAATGTGATAATGAACATTTTTCACCTGATATGTTGGTTGTTAGTTGAATTACACTATTAATATAAATTTAGTCAATTTACTCATTCTGATTGGTTAACATTAATCGCATGTGTGCTGAGTAACAGGTGGAAGCAGCGGGAAAATTGTCTGAGCATGCGCCAGATTAACTAAAATTTCCATTGAAACTTGAAGACTTTTTGTAATAGCGAGATGCTTGCGGTTGTTGTATATTTTTTAATGCCTGTTTAAACGTTATACTTTTTTTGCTTGAGACAAAGGCAAAGTAAAAAGTACTCTACATTTCCAGTGTATAGAAATATCTCGTTTGAACAGCAATAAAATTGATTAAAATCTTTCCACAAACAAGAAGACAGTGTAAGTGACATGTTAAATCTGCAGTCATGCCCGAGGTCTGAAAGCCAATCGTAGCGAGCTTGACATCCTTGTCAGACGGAAAACAAGTACAAATTTGGGTTCAAACAGAAAGAAGTTCAATGTTAATACGACTAACATACATTCTATTCAAATACGGGTGGTTTAAAATGTATTTCAATTGTATTTTTAAAGCTTTTATCTATCGATATGATAATCAAACTGTGCCGAAAATGCCGGCTTTTGTTGACACCTTGCAAATGGATTTCAAAATAACTTCCTGTAAACAGCACATTTCTACACCAAACTTTCACTTAGTCTTCAGATGCACTTGTATGTTCGAGATTTTACTAGTTAAACAAGGAAAATATCCAAGAAACACTGTTAAATTATCCTTGTCAAAAAACATTTCAGTGGCAGTTGCAAGGTTTCAAGCCCAAGGTCAAGTTGTCGATTTCATTACATTTTCACAGTAATTTGAATGTTTTCGAACTCTTGCTTCATACAAGAGCAGTAAACGCAAGCATTTCAAAGCAAAATAAGATGCATAGGCAGAATTTTTCAGCAAAATTTATTGTTAAATTCTGTTTCCTATGTGCCTTGGGAGCAAAAATATATGATTTTGAATTTGGAGCAATAGGCAACTGTTTTTGCAATTTGGAGTGGTATTGCACCCTACCTATGTACTGACTGTGCTGCAAAAGTAATCAAATATACAATTTTTAATTTTCGTTCATTAAAAGGATCTAATATTGTGGACTAAATTAACTCTTTATCGACATGAGCTTATTATCGCAATGATTGTAAGCAATGCGCTTTGCAGATTTAATATCTTCGGTTCATTGAATGCTATAATCCCAAGCGGAAATACGACGAAAACTCGTCAAAACAATGCTACGCTTGTATTGCGTGACTCTGGAAATGCCAGAAATGGATTCTACAGGTCAAAGTGCACCCATACGCGCGAGTTTGATGTCATCCCGGCTAAAGGGAGCTCCTTATTGGCCAAGTATTACGTAATACAAGCGAGTGCGAGTAAAACCCGATACTTTAAAAATTCAAAATAAATATTTCTACTCGTCGTATTCATACGAAACTTTCTACACTAAAGCGCTTGAATACAAAGAGTATTTTGCACATATAGCCTTTCAGAAAATGACGAAAAGTTTAGAAGATATTCAACTTTTTCTCTTTTTATCGTTTGAATGTTTGGCGAAGCGGTGAGTATAAATATATGATTGTTTCTGTTTGTATAATGTTCGACAGCACTTGACCCCCCGTTCGAAAGGCTATTTTGTGAGGATTACAATGGTGGGTTTTGTTTTAAAGTGATATTTACATTTGAAAAATTGAATGGTAATGTAATGCGAAACGACTTGTCGACAAGGAGTTTTAAATCTTAATCAGCATATAAGGCTGCAAACAACAGCCAAGTATTAGCTGGGTAGTTTACAAACTTTAAAAATAATTGGACCTCAAACTTTGACCTCCAAAAGTAAACAAATAGCCAGTACTGCAAACATAATCCAAGTTTTGATCACCAGGCGGAATTTTTAGATGTAAAAAAACTTGTTTAAATTAAATTACACTATAAACAAAGGCAAAACAAAATTTGGTATTAACTTCTACACCCCCTCTCTCAGGATCTTCTAGCTCAAAAAACCACTTTCTGCACAAACTATGCTTTTTTCTCGGGAAAATTTTTATTTTTCTTAAAAACACTTTATAAACAGGGAAACCTTAAATAATTTTCATACCTTTTTGGGATTGCAAAAAGCAAAATCTGATTCATTATCCCACTTTTTAAACTATATGTGACAAAGTTGCTTCGAAATCACTATCACACAGTAGTATGTTATTTCCCTCATCCTGTTGACTGAATAAAGTTTATCTTTTTGAAAAGCTCTTTGTTTTATAGCTCTTCATTACTGGTTTACGTTTATGTCGATTTTGGTACCCACAAGACCAACAATTTGCACTAATCCTCAAATGAAAATGAATATTCGAAGAGCATAAAAGCCAACTCCTAGCCATGTAACTTTATCGCCTCAATTTTGAATCATTCCACAACTAAAATGCTGATAATGTAGACGCTTTCCATACTTGAGATGTTAGTTAAGTTTTTCCTACAATGTAATTTCCTTGATCGCCATCTTGAAAATGCAAAATCATCAGTTGAAATTTCACTCGTGTTGTTTTTCAAATTTTCGAATTTTTGTAAAATATCATGTGCGCCAGCAATTTGCTGCACATCAGCAAATTTCCCAGCTGCTACAGGTGGGAAATTTGCTGTCGCTGACCAGCAAATTGCAGGCGCTAGCGAAACTTTCATTTTAAATTATTAACATGGACAAAAACAAGTTTGAAAATTGAAAAATGTCCTGGATAAAAAAATGTTAAACTGAAATAGGACAATTATAAAACTTTTTATTTCTATGACAAAATATTGACGAAATTTAAGTTTTTTGAAGATGCTAGTTGTTTTCTCTCCCTTGACAGATGAAATTATTAAAAAAATAAACTTAGGGTGGGATGAAAATTTGTTTTTAAAACATTTTTCTACTCAGAAATATCTTTGGAACATTTATTTATGATTAAATCCTTGAAAACACTTAGTGCAAAAATTGTGATTTTGCTAAAAATAGGAAAAAGCTAAATTTTCAACTTAAGATTGTAAAAAATCTAGTCGAGACCCTCAAAACGAGACTATCCCTAAATGAGTCTTTAAATATTTCTTAATTCATTAATCGAAGTATTGTTCATATGAAAATACGGGTTGATATAAAAAAATGGCACAACTGTCTAATGTAGTCTGTAGTAGTCTGAATAGGTGCTTCTGAATATTCCGCTAGAAATTGCATGTGTTTGCTAATCCTGTTCGTAAAAGCATATTTGTTTGATACATTAGAATCTATTGATTCAGAAAATATGAGCAGTCTTGATATCATGCGAATATGTTTCCATCTCTCTTGCATTTGATATGGGGTGATTTATGGGGGTAAAGATTAGCACAATAAAATTTAAAAAAAATTAAAATATTTTAAAATCTGCTGAAAGCCTCAAAAACAAATATGGTTTAAATTACTCCTTAAAACATATACTTTATTTTGCGAGATAATTCATTCATCTAAAAATATGGAATAGTAGGAATTTCTGGACATTTCCAAGTTCCGATATACAACATGACAAACCGCACTGCCTTAATTATGCAAACTTTGTGTTTTAATAGCATGAATCTCTGGAAACGCATTAGCTCATAACTGTTCACCAATCCAGGTGAAGCGCATAAATTTACTAAGATTTTTCGCTACATGATATTGCTGATCTCAGTAGGAGCTCTGACAAAACCTGTTGTTAATATTGTTATTGATTAAAGGTACAGATTGAAGGTGTTTTGGAGTGATAACAACTTTTGATTTATTGTATGACATTTATTGCACGAAGCAATAACACATGTAAATGTTGTGCTTTTTTGCCTTCTGATTGCCTCAACTTAGCAGCATGGTACCCAGAATGACATATAACAAAGATCTATGAATTATACTGTTCTATAATGACTTCTACACATGCTGTTCTTTAAATCACTAAATGTATCAAGTGTTTACCATGTGCCTATATATCAGATACAGTTGTGCATTCTGTGATGGTGGCCAGCTGTTTTTATTTTCAATATTTCACACACATTCTTTTATGGCTATGATGAGTGTTTAAGCATACATCTCTTAAATATATCATTGAGATATGGTTTGCTTAGCACGATAATCTGTTTGCACTTACAAAACTCCCCAACCTTTAATTTAAAACAACTCTCCCTAAAGCATAAACATCGCTTGGTGGTGTATGGTGGCCCATCACTATCATGGATTTTTGCAGAAGTTCATATTATTTTGCATTGTAATTAGATTTCAGATATGAAATATATTTTTAAACCGTTTTTATTTTTAAATTTAAAATGTAAATTTAATTGCATTTCATATAATATAATGCCAAATATTTTCAATCTGCAAATAAAATTTTAAAACGCATTTATACATGTGGCCCAGCGCTATCACTATCATGCAAAATCACAAGAAATAGAAATTTAAATTGGAAAGAGGAAGCACCGTTCTGCACAGAGCCACAGACTGCATGTATTAAGAGGGCCCCCTATACTTTTTGCGTGAAGGGCTTATTTTACTTAGCCGTGAAACGTGATCGGGCCCCCTATAATTTTTGCGTGAAGCGCTTATTGTACTTAGCTGTGAAACGTGATCAATGATTTTCTTAATCCGTGACTCGTGAAAAGGCAAAATATTTTTACGTGAAAGCATATTATGAAGAGGTATAGGGGGCCCTCTATTAATGGCGAATGCCAACTGTAAAGATGACGAGAAACTAAAGAAAGATCTTGATCAATATGTCAGGCAGAATTTAAAAAGATCAGAAATATTAGATTTCATTAAACGAGATTTTTCAGAATACGCGTGGAGCATCGCTACACTTGATAGGAGACTTCGACATTTTGAAATAAGGTACATTAATTATACTACACCAGTAGAGGCTGTTTCTGAAGCTGTTTCCCAGGAACTTAATGGCCCAGGGAAAATTCTGGGTTACAGAGCATTAAACCAAAAGCTTAGAACCGTGCATAATGTTAAAGTTCCCAGGCATTAGGTCCACAATGTTCTTGCCAAGTTAGATCCTGACGCGGTCTGGAAGCGAGAAGTTTACAAAAGAAAGCAAAAAAAACGAAAGTGGCATTTACTTCGAATGGTCCTTTATGAGTTGTATCGCTTGACGGACACGATAAACTCTGTGGATATCAAAATTCGACGTTTCCCATATGAAGTTATGGAAGATGCAGTTCAAGCTATTATACACGGTCCTTCAACGAGCAACAAAATTCAAAGATGGTGGCGTGATTTGCACGAGAGATTGGAGAAATATTTTAAAATACAGTTAACACAGCTGCTACGAGATGTTGAATAGACAGCTATTAGCATATGTTTATATTCCTATTCAACGTGAATGTGATATTTTTGTGAGCAACTGGAATTCCCACAGAATCCGTCATCAGGACGATCTGTCGCTTCCTACAGGAATTCCAAATCACATATTTTCCTTCCCTGAGAAGTACGGAGGAAATCATTGTGGTATTCCTGTCACACAAGATGCGTTAGAAGAAGTGGCAGAAGTTTTGGGCTTACTTGAAGACAACCCAGAAATTTACATCCATGACGAAAGAATTAAACATGCGTGTGAACAGTGTTTACCTGAACCATCGAAAGTTGATTCAGTCAGTGCAAAAGACGCTTACCTGTTTCTTAAACAAAATATTTCTAATGACATTAATTCTATTAACAGTAACTTCAATTCGCGTTAACTTTGATATAAAAAACATGCGTAATGTTTTACTGCACTATCTTCATAGTCAAAGACAAAATCATCCAGCTATATGTGATTCTAGTTATACAGAATATCAAAATGAGTCATTTAAACGATCTTATTACAAGATTTATCAAAAGTTCCAAAGTTTGTTCGGTTATATATATTAAAACAAGCTACAAGTCCGCTTGCGTGGCCGATTATAAAGTAATAGAATGTTATTAATAGATTTGAAAATAAAATTATTGTAAAATGTAATTTGTATATTTCGGCATGGTAGAAAACCCGGGTAGCGGATAACCGGGTAACCGGATAGTTAGTATATAGAGATTTTTTCATGGGAAATACTTACGGGTGGTATTTACGCACATGTTAATTTGTTTTCGCAAATTAAACGAACGAGTGAGTGCAAAATTTGTTTACTTCATAGACGATACAGAGTTTATTTATATTACACAGCGAAAAATATAAAGGTTTATATGTTTCATAAAGCGAGACAATCAGATAAACAAAGTCGTGTCGTACAAAAATACATCGGAAAATACAAATTTTTCAGTATTAATGAACAGGAAAGGAAATATCAATTTATTATTATTATTTACAAATATTTTAAAACGGTAGCTCTTCAGAACACCTATGATCCGTTTTTCAAGAGGCCGTTTAAACTAATATTTACAAAGTTTAATAAAAATTACATCTAAAATATAATATAAATTATCACACAGTTAAAACATATACAAAATATTGTATGCACACATAAATATAACTAACAAATATTGTCGTTTTCTCTGAGAAATGTATTGAATTGTCCCCAGTGGCGAAGCCAGCGTCATGTGAGTGGTCATGCAAATGAGCACCGAAGGCGTGAGACTTCTTATGGGGGTCCGGGGGCATGGCCCCCTGGAAAATGTTTGAAATATAGACCCCAGAAACGCCATTTGCAGCAATCTGAGCATCAAATTTCAGAAAATAGCTTGATCTAATGACGGGAAAAGATGTGGATATTTTGGCATATTTCAGACAACAATAATGAAGACAATATAGTTATACTGGCAATTGTACATTTCTTTTCAATCAGAAAATATTACATGCATGTTCTGTATTATCATAGTCTGTATATAGACTACCTAATTTTTAATTGATTACTTTGATATGCTATCCCCTTGTAGTATTCCAACGTGAAGTCTGAAGAGTCGTTCACATTTCCAGAACTAGATACAATTTTATCCACATATACTAACGGAACATAATGACAAATAGCTGCTAATACAGTCCGTATAATCTAGAATATAGGTATAATATGCAGACTTGGAAAATATAACGCATGAGCCTTGATCAATTTCCTTAATTTAAAATCAATCGCCCAATAATGACAAATAGCTGCTATACAGTCTGTATAATCTAGAATATAGGTATAATATGCAGACTTGGAAAATATAACGCATGAGCCTTGATCAATTTCCTTAATTTAAAATCAATCGCCCAATTATTACAATATTACATACAGAAATGAATTAAGCATTACCAGATGTTTGAGTTGAAATTTTACTGTCAGTTTAGCCGAATTCTGCATTCATATTGATTATTGGCTATTGCCAATATTGGATATTTTCGAACGCACAGGGAGTATGTACCACTAATGGTAAATACAATTTAACAATACACTGTATATTGAAATTTCTTTGTTTGTTTCACAAACAAGTATATATCAAATATGTTGCTAAACCACAATCGCTAAAATGTTTGTGTTGCATGTTGAAATGTCTGAAATGTATAAGCTTTGCAGCGCTATTTATAGAACTACATTGTTTACCACATTGACCTTGACATTGTATTTCATATAGTATATAGGCATTATAGCGCTCGATGCTTTATACGCCTATGCTCGGGTTGAAGGCTTAAGTTAAATATTCAAGACAAAATACATGTAACAATAACTAATCGATATATGAGCAAGCCCGTACAATACCCCACTATAACGCCAAGAACGTATGTTTATTTATATGCAATACTTTTGGTTGCTCATATATTGAGAAAGGGCCCAGTAATCAGTATTGATAACAGAAGCCTTTGGACGTATCTGAGGGGCCTAACGCGGTTCTTAAATCAATGAGAATCATGAATGGAATATTTACTTTAAAATTAGAATAAAAATCTTTTTATTATATAGATACTGAGTTTTTCGCATAGATACATTATTTTGTTGATATTTCCTTTTTATTGATTATTGCAGTCTAGTTTGGGAAAATTGCAGTAATTACTTGCACGACAAGATGCAAAAAAATGCAAAATAGAGCGGCAAGAATAATTACTGGCAAATCATATGAAATACAAACAAGTGAATTGCTAAAAGAGCTTAATTGGCAAACACTTGAGGAAAGAAGGGAGAGTGGGAGATTCACATTCATGTTTAATGTTAAAAATCAGGAGGCACCAGAAAATATGGCTAATTTGTTTAGATTCTCTAATAATGAAAAATATGGGAGTTGACAAAAGTGGACCCCCCCCCTTCTGGATCCCTTTCTGGACCCCTTTCCTGGACCTTTTAAAAACCAAAAGAAAACATGCAAATTAAGAAAACATTACATAGGCAGCTGTAAGCAGTCCGTCCCCGACCCACATTTGTTGAGATGGCTTCGGCAGTGACCCATAATTTGGCCAATATTTGTTCACATTTTTGCTGTAAATGCAGCGGGGTAAATTTGCCGATTTATAGCAACCCGACACTACATTGACAAAGTCATTACACAGTATTTTACAAGGTCACAAAAACAACATGCAGTTTACTGAAGTGCTTATCCCTATTCAAAAGAACATGAAACAAGAAAACTATTGCAGTAAGAAATTTCTAATTGGATAACTATGTTGCCCAGCAATTCCCTAATGTACAAGATTATGACTGAAATGATCAGGATTGAGGATTCAGAAAGTCGAAAAAAGCTAAATGAATTTAATCAATCATCGTTATATTGAAATCCAAATAGTTGTGTCCTACAATCTGGTCTGTAGGTTTTTAAAAGGTCAAGAATAGGGTCCAGATTGGGGTCCAGATTGGGGTCCAGAATGGGGTCCAGATTGGGGTCCAGATTAGGGGTCCAGAAAGGGGAGTCCACGTTTTGTCAACCCCCGAAGAATATGACCTGAGAAATAATGGAATTAATTTTCAACTGGATAAACCTAAGACTAATTTCCTCAAAAAAAGTATTAGCTACTCAGGGGCAAAATGCTGGAATAATTTGCCAAATGAGATTAAGGCAAAAGAAATGACGATGGGACAATTCAAAACATTTCACAGAGAAAACAATTATATTTATATTTATATATTTATGTGTGCATACAATATTTTGTATATATTCTCTTAGACTTTAACTGTGTGATAATTTATATTATGTTTTAGATGTAATTTGTATTAAACTTTGTAAATATTAGTTTAAACGGCCTCTTGGAAAACAGATCATAGGTGTTCTGAAGAGCTACCATTTTAAAATATTTGTAAATAATAATAATAAATTGATATTTCCTTTCCTGTTCATTAATACTGAAAAATTTGTATTTTCCGATGTATTTTTGTACGACACGACTTTGTTTATCTGATTGTCTCGCTTTAAGAAACATATAAACCTTTATATTTTTCGCTGTGTAATATAAATAAACTCTGTATCGTCTATGAAGTAAACAAATTTTGCACTCGCTCGTTCGTTTAATTTGCGAAAACAAATTAACGCGTGCGTAAATACCACACATAAGTATTTCCCATGAAAAATCTCTATATACTAACTATCCGGTTACCCAGTTATCTGGTATCCGGTTATCCGCTACCCGGGTTTTCTACCATGCCGTATATTTCATATTATTGTTGACATCCATAAGTACATATATGGCATGCAATTTTCGCACTTTAAACAACTTTGAGTCTGAGTGAAATTTGCTGTAAACAAACTTTTCAACTACTAATTTGTAGTCAAAATAACTTGCAGCTTAGCCGTCACCCTTACCCTATAGCGTAAACACTGGACTTGGCTATTTTTAACATGCATTGTGATGAAACTCAACTACTGTGTATTAAACGCCTAGAAAAAATCAATGAAAAATTGTGCAATATCAGTCTTACAATGTCAGCTCCGTTTCAGAAGCAAGATTCAACATGGCACAAAACTGATTACATTTATGCTCACTATTGAATTTACTAATACTTAAACATGACAAGTTGCCAGCACAAAAATAGAATTCTCCTTCATCATTCAACTCTGCAGTAGCAATTTCAGGATCGTAAAGATTAAACATTGAACCTTGTATATCTAAGAGCATCATTTTCTTATTTGAAAATTGTAACTGAAATGCACCAGACATTCTGCTTTCCTGAATACGACCTCGTATTCTTCACTAGGGGCTTTCAAGCATTGGCCGTCATTATTTTCGTATTTAACGAAATCTCCTGGCACATATTCTTCAGTTACTGGCCGACCGTCTAGTGAAGAATAAAAAACTTTGCCATATGCAGAAGTATCCTTAAATTGTGGAGGGGCTTTAGAGGCAAACTGCTGGGTAGTATTTCTTGCAACTGCATGTGTCTGAACTTGCTTTCTCGTGTGTCCCTCAACAGACATTCCCAATCGTGTTTGTCGAAGTATCCTGGTACCGTTTCAATACCCATTCACCACGCAGATCTGGCGGATCAAGACATTTCGCTTTGTAAGCGTCTCGAAAAGCGCCACTTGCGAACTTTTCATCTTCAACCTGAAGTTTTATGGTGGAAGCGTTAACCCAAATGCATTTGTGAACATCGAAATACTCTAAGTTAAATATATATGCGTTTGGTGGCTTTATCAACTTCCCAGCTTTAAGCAAATCGCCAATTGATACAGACTTTGGGAAGACTGTAGCAGGAGCACGTGGCCGTGGGCTACAAAGCGAATGACTTGAACTTTACTGGGGATGACTTCGTACCAGCCTTTGCTTGTTTTGTCATAACTATGTTTTGTCATATTATCGTTCTTTGACATATCATCGTTGCGTTGGCTCTCATTTTCTGGTTGTAGAAAGCGTATGAAGAAAACCTTTTTCCCCTTTAGTTGTTCAAACCTGGTACACGACAGGCCTCGGTCAGACGCTAGGATATCACAAGTGTTTTGTGGAGCATTGTAGAAGCGTTCGCAAGCGTCTTTTATATTGTCAATGCTTAGTTCGTCATAATCTTCGAAAGGCACAAAATCTCTCGTGACCAATGGTTCATATTTCTTTAACCGACCTGAAGCTACTGACGACTTTTACGCCACAAGACTTTTTCTCCCGACCTTCGGTTCTTTTAAGGCCCATTCGTTTCTCAAATTCAGCCCATTCGTCTTTCTTTTTACAATATTCGTTTTTGCATTTCATACCGCCTTGTTCGATGTGCTAATCACCGAGCTATACTGTATCGCGTATTACTTGTAAATACCGTATTTTAAGTTTTGTTTGTTGGGACGGGCTTCCCGCCAAATATGATGACATGTGGGGTTATGGGATATGTTCACTATGTCCTGATAGTGATAGCGATGGGCCACGTATATGAATTCATTAAAATTTTATTTGCAGATTGAACATATGACTGATAACTCTGTCCCGGACATCAAAAATAAAAAAAATATGAAAACGCTTTACCTCCTTTAAATAGAATAAAAAAATACTATCAATATTTATGCATTAATTATATGAAATGCAATTAAATTTAAATTTAAAAACGGTTTAAAAATAGATTTCATATCTGAAATCTAATTACAATGCAAAATAATATGAACTTCTGCAAAAATCCATGATAGCGATGGGCCACCAGTATGGTGACTGTTTTAACTTGCCTTATATTATTTCAGGTGCAATGAACATGCCTTACTTTGGTCTATCAGTATGGCATGGAACTTCACATTATCCTTGGTAACCATGACGTTGTTGTCATACAAATACTTTACAAGGTGTTATTTAGTTGTGCTATGACGGATATGTCTTCCAAATTACTTAGACTAAACTCGGACATTTCGGGATTTGGGAAATTGTACAAAGACGTATTTCTTTAATCAATGCCATAAAACAAAGAGACCATAAGCCACAGCCTCGTCGTAATGTCCATGCCAATGTAAATTGTGCACCAGCAAAACAAGCATATTTTGTATGACAGCAGCATTCCAGAAACTATATTTATAAACTTGAAAAGGATCGTAGATAGTTCCATTTAATCAAATAATGTTAAGCTTCATCTGATAAAGATGACACATCTTTTGACACAAGGGTATATCAGCTTAAAAGTATTTTGAACAAATAAGTTTCCAATCATGCAAGACCATGCAATAGATTGTGCATAGCAAAGCAAGCATATTATTGTATTTATCACAACATCATGTTAGCAACTCAAATTCCATTTAAATTTAGAAATCTTAGTTCCATATGCCTATTTATTCAAATAATTTTAAGCTTCAACTGATTCAGGTAAGATGAAACATCTTCAAAATCTGTCAGCACAAGATGACACATCTTCCTGACACAAGAGAAAATCAGCTTAAAATTATTTGGAACAAATAAGTTCTGGTTTATATGTAGATTGTGCACAGAAAAAGAAAGCATATTATTTATTGCAACATCAAGTTAGCAAGTCCAATTCAATAAGAGATTATTTGATACAGTATCATGCATATAAGTGGATTAGAGAGCTTTCGCCCATTATTTTGAGCCAAACATGTACTTTGCAAAACATCGAGATCGAGTTGCAGAGACTGACATAAAACGTACCCTTCTTGATTCCTTTCAACATTTTCCAGAACTATGAAAATTGTTTAATGATACCAATATACATCCCTCTGAATCATCCCAGCAAAGTGAAGATCATTCGCGCTCGTATAAGCGAGAAGCCGTTTCAAACGTTTGTGTATGTTTTTGGTTCGTCTTTCAATCTGTTCTCTAACAGCATTATCTGCTCAATCATTCTCGTCGTTTCGTCCCTTTCATTGTTCTTCAGAGTAACGCTTGGTGTTGTGCTGGCGCCAATTTCTTCAAGCGGGAACAAGACTGTTGAGTGTTGACCATTTGGCGTATATGCTGGAATATGCTGGACTGGTAGCCTCGCACTGTCAAGTGTCCACTTTCTTATCACAAATGTTAAGATACCAAATGAGGCAATGTAAGTTTTGGCGATTTTCCATCCAACGGAATGGCACCAGATTACCATTGTAATCCTGAAGCTTAGGTCTTCGTGCGGGAAACAGTGCAATATATATTTGTTGCACTATATATTTCCATTTGATATGCTTGAACCGGGCAAGCAGTAATTATAGGCATACCAATTTTTATGTGGCTCCAAACAATGCGAAAATACATGGTAATACATTGCCGCATTTTTTGTCATACATTCGCCAAGCCAGCTACACCAGACACTGATGATTCTAATTTGGCACATTTATGGCAAAACAGTATAATTTGCAGTTTCCTTGTAAAGTGATGACAGCGTAAACAAGCCATATTGTACATTAATAACATAAATACATGTCTTAATATTTAACAGTTACACCAGGTGATGTATTGCATTACAAAGTGTCTTCTCCTCTTATTAACAGCCTATAATTGGTGTCTATCAAACCTAATTACAACTTCTATGGCAACAGACACTTCACCCTTAATTTTTTTGCACCCAGTTGCGGTTCCTCATGGTTACACAAAAGTTGCAATTTTATTAATATTTTTAACCTGTGAAAGTTGTCATACCTTCCTCCCCTTCCCAACATGCATTGGATGAACAATTTTTTGGTTAGCAGAAAAAACGAGACAAAAACGCAAATAAAACGCTCAAAAATCAAATTACTGTATTTACTTGCCCCAAATCTCTTTCTCTTAAACCATGCAAAATGAAGCACATGTGCAGACAAATTTCCCACCTGTTGTGCTGATTAAAGATCAAACGGCACGGATACAAGCCCATGTGCATTATACACAAGATCTCAAAATATAAATAAACAACTTGAAAATTGATATTTTCTGAGCTGTTATTTTGCAATGAGCTCTTTAAGTATGTTTAACCCATTAAGCACCAGCGCTCTCCCCTTGACGAGTAAAATCATCTGGCGTTAGACAGAGTAAAATACTCTGGCGTTAGACAGAGTAAAATACTAAAGTAGGGTGCATCAGGGTGCAATGCGACTCAATCGGTTAACTAGACACATGGGCAGATAGGCCAGTTAACTCATTAAGCACCAGCACTCTCCCCTTGACGAGTAAAATACTCTGGCGTTAGACAGAGTAAAATACTAAAGTAGGGTGCAATGCGACTCAATGGGTTAACTAGACACATGGGCAGATAGGCCAGTTAACTCATTAAGCGCCAGCGCTCTCCCCTTGACGAGTAAAATCGTCTGGCGTTAGACAGAGTAAAATACTAAAGTAGGGTGCATCAGGGTGCAATGCGACTCAATGGGTTAACTAGACACATGGGCAGATAGGCCAGTTAACTCATTAAGCGCCAGCGCTCTCCCCTTGACGAGTAAAATCGTCTGGCGTTAGACAGAGTAAAATACTAAAGTAGGGTGCAATGCGACTCAATGGGTTAAATATTAAAGAGAAAGCAGAAATAAAGATTATTCACAGTTTTTTCACTGACATGAATTGAAACTTAATGTCAGAAATTACTCTCTCTTTATCGACATGACCCTATTATCACATTGCTTTGAAACAATGCACTTTGAATTTTAATATCTTCGGTTTATTGAATGCTATGAGGTAAAAAATACCACCATTCGATTCAGTGTAACTAGATCTTCTCACTTGTAGCAATAGTTTTAGTCAATGGTAACATTATAGCGATTTATGGGCTTTGAAAGTAAAGCAAGATCGTATACGATCAAATTACGACACATTTTACCAACAAATTATGAAAACATAAACATACCTTTCGCTGAACATAACTTCGGCCCCTTGAGACATATGCTCAATGTGATATTCTTGATGAATTAAGCATTTAAAATACCATGTGTAGTGTTATTTTCAAGCTTCTATCTTTAAAGTGTGACTTTTAATGCCGTATATTACATTTCTGCTCTGAATTTGCAATAATCCCAACCAGAAATATGACGAAAACTTGTCAAAACAATGCTACGCTTGTATTGTGTGACTCTGGAAATGCCAGAAATGGATTCTACAGGTCAAAGTGCACCTATACGTGTGAGTTAGACATCATCCCGGCTAAAGTAACTCCTTATTGGCCAAGTATTGTGCAATACACGTGTGTACGAGTAAGACCCGATACCTTGAAAAATTCAAAATAAATATTTCTACTCGTATTCATACGAAACCTTCTACACTAAAGTGCTTGAATACAAAGAGTATTTTACACATATAGCCTTTCAGAAAATGACGAAAAGTTTAGAAGATATTCTCTTTTTCTCATTTGAATGTTTGGCAAAGTGGTGAGTATAAACAAATGATTGTTTCGGTTTGTGTACTGTTCTGACAGCACTTGACCCCCCGTTCAAAAGCTTATTTTGTGAGGATTACAATGGTGGGTTTTGTTTTAAAGGGGGGTAAATACTCACCGCGATATTTATACATTAGAAAAATTGAATCGTAATGTAATGCGAAACCACTTGTCGACTAAGAGTTAACTAACAAAGGTACGTATGGCTGTGCTTGCTTGACTACATTAATATGTTTCTTATGATTGATTGAAATATCGTGTCAAATCAGAAACCAGCAGCATCGTCTGTATTCAAAGTTAATGACTTAGTATCATCTTGCCACACAGTTGCACAATCGTGCCATAACCAAAATTAGTCCGGTACTTGTCAGAAAATGATGAAAAGTTTAGAAGATATTCAACTTTTTCTTGTTTGCATGTTTAGCAAAGCGGTGAATATAAATATATGATTGTTTTGTGTAATGTTCTGATGGCACTTGACCCCCCCCCCCCCGTTCGAAAGCTTATTTTGTGAGGATTACAATGGTGGGTTTTGATTTAAAGGGGGGTAAATACTCGCCGCGATATTTATATTAGAAAAATTGAATCGTAATGAAATGCGAAACCACTTGTCGACGAAGAGTTAATTAACAAAGGTACGTATGGCTGTGCTCGCTTGACTACATTAATATGTTTCTTATGATTGATTGCTCATGTAAAATTGACTATAAAATTATATTAAGAAATTACACTTGTTCTCGATGTATTAATGAAAAATCACACTTGCGTTTGGCAAAATATTTATAATGTGCATGGTATTATAAATATTTTGCCAAACAAGTGTGTGATGTTTCAGTACTTCTTGAACCATGTAGTGTCCTATACATATATTAGCAAGGTTTTAGAATGTACTATACAATACACCTATAGTATAGGTTACATTATGAAATAAGTTCTGCACAACAATCTCATTTGGCAAGAACCAATGATAAAGAAAGTTATGTTATTAGTGCTTATGTAGACAATGCAACTATTTCCCATAAGATAGCACCTAAAAACAACAATTTTAACCCTTCAACATGCAATGTGGTGTGTAACCAGCATGTGTCCTACTTAATGAGTTTACTGTGTCTAACATCAGACCATTTCAATAATAAAAGGGAACAGTCCTGTACGTTAATGGTTATTGAGGTTAATAGTATTAAATTCGAGAGAATTACCAAAATTGTTGATGAAAGGTGTTTGCATGCACCTTTGCAAATCATACAAATACAGTCACCATCTGGAGCAGAAGATAGTCCAACACACTCCATGTGAAACCATTTCACTGTGTAGGTAGGGTTGTCACAGCCAATCATCTTGCCAAACTCGCATTGCCAACATAAACACAACACATCTATAAAACCATGAAGAAATCATTTTTAGGAACAAACATGATCATTTATTGCGACCGTAAGCATTTATTGCTAAGACAAGCAAGTTGATGAACTAAAAGACAATCTAGTAATGTCACAGTTAGAACATGAAAATAAAGTACATTGGCAATTTTTAGTTTATCTCACCTTCGGATGACTCCTTGTCGATCACAGCACTGTTTTTCTTCTGACATCTTGTAATGGCTGCTTGTTTTGCCCCTGCTTTCTTCCCTTGTAGCAACATCAGAAACGTATTGTAGCGACATTTGAACTTCTTCATCAGTTAATAGTGTTTCCTTCACTAGTTCTACAATAATTTCCCTTGATAGACTTCTCCCTTCATCTGTGCTTCAGAAACAAGTACAGATGGAGGCTTAAACACCATCCCCTTTCCCCATGTGCTTGGTAATGCAGGTAATGTTCTTTTGGGTTGAGATAGTGACCAGCACACTTTCCACTGCACTTTTCACAAGGGCCTCCCCAGGGTTGTTTTGGGTCCACAATCAGTACGGGAAAGTAGTTTAACTTTGGACCACCGGGAAACCAGGTGTTGTCAAAATCCTCTGCATTGGGTTGAAACTTTGGATGAGGGAACTTCGGAAGATTATTTTACATGATAGTAGCATGAAGACATAAGGTTGTGACAGATTTTTCACCATGTGTCTATTGTGGACACCCCAAATCTCTTCAAAGTAGTTGTACAGTGTCACATCGTTCTCTTTCAGGGCCTGCTTCTCGATTTTCTTGCCACCTAGATAAGTGAGCAACTTTGGAAGTCTTTGCAACTTTGACAAGCATCAATGGTGTGCCATTAACTTTCTTTATGTAAACATCCATAGCTAACTCCAACTTTTTTGCTAATTGTTCCTTGTCTAACCCCTGTTTGGTATAACACGGGCGTCTAAGAGTAGATGGAATGAAGAGATTGCAGTAGGCCACTGCCAAGCAGCCATTGAGTAGTTCAACAAATTACAGTCGTTTTGCCAACGGTCAGTTCGCCAACGTCTCGAGTCGATTCGCAAAGACATGATATAAACTGTACGGCACTTATGGACAGCAGGTATTTTGTATTTTTATATAATTATTTCTATCCGTCCTGGTCAGTGATGAGCCTACAAAATTAAGTGATGATATACACAGTATTATTGTGGCAAATAATAAGTCTCTGTGCATGCAATTGATCAACTATATCATAGCTTTGAATTTGTTTAATTAATTTTCTATGAGGTTTACTAAAATTTTACTATAAGGTTTACTAAGATATTTACAATAAATTTTACTAATATTAACTAAAGCCTAGTTTCCATTTGGATTTTGGTCGTTAGTTGTCGCTGGCATGACAAGTGACTGATGTAATAGAGTGTCCACAAAACTCTGCAAAACGATAATTTTCCACCACAGTTATAGAAAAACTTGTGGTAGTTTGGGAGAACTCAAAATAACGTGCAAGAACTCGGCCTACGAGCTCGTTTTCCCACTAATTATTTCTCATTCTCTCAAACTACCATGCATGTTTCTATATTCTGCATACAAACACGGAAATTTTTTTTTTATTTCTTAAATAACTTAGATATAGTTACCTTGGCCAACTCTTGAACTCTCAGCAAGTCGCAAAAGAATTCCCGCGCTCATGTTCATGCAGTCGACACAACGCCAGTCAATAACCTGCCCATTTCTGACAGCGTTTCTGTATTGGTGTTGAGAAATCCCACTGTTGCAGGTTCTGTGCTGCCATCTGTCACATCCATCGCACTGAATGCCTTCTTGTCTTGCTCGGACGGGATCCTTGCAGCAAATGCATAAATCTTGATGGGCCATCGTGAACAAGTTTTGGAAATGTAGTGTTGTGAAGCAGCCGCCAATGAGAAGTGAATGAAAATATTTAGGCTTTTCACGCTTTTTATATGCGATGTGTGCTATTCAGTGCAAACAAACTACAGACAAAGGACTGCGACTGCGTAGGATGAAGTAGCTTTCAACGATGACTCATGCTGCATGCATGCATGTTTTCGCACAGGTTAGCCAAACACTGAGAACAACAACAACGACAAAAAAGACAATGAATTTAATTGTTTGGGTTGCACTGAGTAGTACATAGGCAAGATATATGTTTCAGGTAGAAAAGTCCTTACCGAGAGAAAAAATCCTTACCGAGAACTGTTGTTATACTGTCTCTGATTAGTTGCATGTCTTTCCGTAAGAATCACACTAGCTTGTAAATATCTCTCTTGTTACCTTATTCACTTTTCAGCTGTTTACGTCATCTTCCTGTTTTGGTGTATATATATAAGATCTGGGCACGCTTGTAAAAAATTAGCTTTGATATAAATGACTTTGGAATAAAGTTGAAATATCACCATTATTTGCGCTATCTTGTTTTTAATAACTTGTATCTTGAGTTTACAAGATGTTATTGTTCTGAGTGTTTTTTGTTCAGCCAACGATTTTAGAAAATATAAAAAGAAACAAATTCCGAAGAGTAAAGTCATCTTGCAATTAATTGAGGATATGAAAAAAAAACCCATCATTGTAGCTGAAAAGGAATAGTAAACGAAAGATTTTTGTATTTTTCACGAAAATAATGTTCATGCAAGTATACTATCTTCCCACAAGGGGGTTACTAGCCGTGACTAATTACGTTGCCGTTGGCAACACTATTAATCAGGATACCGTTAATCCATATATTGTTTACGAGTTCGGTTTGGAGATTGTATTTACTGGAAACGAGGCATTTTGTGTGTTTAATTGATCTTCAAAATACAAGAACATCAGTAACAATGTCGCACAATACGCCTTTTATGTGAACTACGCGACGTTGGCGAACTGACATAAGAACGTGGTGACATAAGAACGTGGACGAGCGTTGGCGAATCGACCCGAGACGTTGGCGAAACAACTTGTTGGCGAAACGACCGAATACCAGTTCAACTCTATTAAGATACGATCTGCCACTATGATGGGTTGTCAAAACAATACTTGTGTTTTCCTTGATAAGATGTCATTGGGTCCAATAAAACTGCACCTCCTTATTTGAGAGAGCTTCAACAGAACCTCCATCGACATGGACATACTCAACCTGTTTATCACAAAATGCTGATTTAAACTCTGATTTTTCCTCCAACATTTGCAGATCTGCTGCATGTTGCATGGGACTTTTATTGATCAGGCTATGAGCCTTTACCACTCCACCACACACTTCCTTTGTTTTTTCAGTAGACATAAACATATATGACGATACTTGTAAGATGAATGTATATTTATTCAGATAATCAGATGTAGTTGTCTTCTTGTGTTCATCACATGTTGAAAAGGACACATGCTGTTTGTGGGTAAATGTCGTGTCAAATCAGAAACCAGCAGTATTGTCTCTATTCAAAGTTAATGATTTAGTACCATCTCTTAACTGCAGGTAATCAAGACTGTGGTACATTGCTGAGCTGTAATGCACGTCCAGATTAAATTTAACCAAGAAACCTTTACATGCTTTCCAACATTTTATTTTAACTATGCCTTTATAACACTTAGCAGATAATCTTCTACGAATTCTTGCCATATGCACAGTTGCACAATCGTACCATAAACCAAAATTAGTCCTGTACTTGTCTTCAAGGAATTTCTTGATCCAACTGTACGTAACTTTCTGCCCAGAAACTTGTGAAATCTTACCAGTTCTTCTCCACACGTCTGCACCAACTTTTTGTTCTTTGACAAATGTCTCTACTTCTCCTATGTTAGGGTATTTTAAAAGAATACTAGCTACTCGATTTGGCAATTGCCGTTGGAGAAGGCGAGCATTTGTTGCTGCTTTAATAGCTTTTTTTTCTTTCTCTTGTAGATTTTTCGTTGTTTAATAATCATCTCTTTGCCTGCTTCTGAATTTAACTCGGTGATATTCAGCCAGTCATCCACATTTACAACATCACTATCACTATCACTTTGAATATCTTCCGAATCCTCAGAATTGTATCTTATTCTTTCTGTTGCAAGGTATGCTTGCCTGGATTCTTAAATCAACTTCTTTTCTTTGACCGTCGCATCATTGCTCAACAGAAAATGTGCAAAATCAGTCAATAGTTGATCAGTTGATTCTGGAGAACATTCTGTAGCTAAAACGTTCAACTCTTTGACAAGTGCAAACCAATTCAGCTTATTTCTATGAAGAATTGACAACATATGATTCAGTGTAGGGAGAAGCTGGATGCCTTGGCTTTCTTTAAGAGGCTGGCTGGTGTTAGCTTGGTCAATGGTTAACAAGCTAGTATAGGTTGTGTGGTCAGGCTGTTCATTAAATTGCATTATTTTTCTTTCATCACTATCGAGGGTTGCTTTGCTTGGAATTATCTTCTTCAACATCATTGGACATGCAGCATTCTGATTCTTCCATGCTATCAGAATCTGATTCATCTGAAACATGGATGCCAAGTGCATTAAGAGATGCTGTGCTTTCTCCTTTCGCTAATTCTGCTACGTTTTTATGATGACATAATATGTTTCAACAGCATCCATAATCCTCTCCCCTTGTTTATGAAGGTCTTGAAATCCACATAATGTCTTAGCAGATTTTACTGAGACCCATGCTTTTACAAGCAATGTACTTAATTAGTAATCGGTGAGCTTCTGATGATGCAAGGTTGCATAACATTAGCAGCTAGGCTCTCTTTTGACATCTTAGCTGTTATCTTTCTATCGCTTTTCCCCATGTTTCGTAATAAAACGAAACTGTTGGGCTACCTTTGAGAAAACACTGACTACACTCTTTCCAATCGGCATGTCTTTGTACTTTGCAGTAAAGCTTTCTGACTGCTACAAAATCTAACAAACTAATATCTTGAATACTGGACACGTGTAAATGCCTCTAGCTGGTCGGTTAGCGTGCTTTTTTTTAGGGGTGCACCGGATTTGGAATTTCCAAATCCAGCCGGAACCGGATTTACTGGATTTGGACAAAAATTTCGGCCGGATTTGCCGGATTTGAGAGAGATAAACCGGTAATGGGGACAATTGGAGATAAATCAGTATTCAAAATAACGGTTTATGTTTTTTACTGTTTTTAGTTAGTGTCAGTTTAGATTTTTGATTGTGTTTAAACCTTTTTTAAACATCTTTTTGTTAATAACTTATTATTGTATAATAATATAAGTGTTTTTTTAAACATTAAAGCTGCCAAATTGATGGTTTATCCCATTCTTGGTGAACTTTTTAAGGTAAAAACAGAAATTTAAATCCGGCCGGAAGCCGGATGCCGGAAAATTCGTTAAATCTGGCCGGAATTCCGGCCGGATTTGAAGCACCCCTACTTTTTTTCAGTAACACAACTCATGTATTGCATAAGAATGTCATGTTCTAAAGTTATAAAATTATTGTGCAACCAATGTTTTTCAGTTAAACCAAGACTATCAACAGCCCCACATCCAAATGATGAGGAGCCTAATGGCATAAAAAAACAACTTTTATAGAAGAGGTTTCATTGTCCGAGATATTTTCTTCAAATGCACTATCCTCTTTGGCATCACTTTTGTTGAAGGTTGTGATAGCTGACGTTGGTGATGTTGTGCTGGATTTAACATCATTCTGATCTGATATACCATTTCTTCATTACTTTCAGGATATGAACTTACATGGCCAACCAGGGAACCATTTGAAACTTCACTATCTTTCGGTTCTGTATTTGTGGATGGAACACAATTTTCTGACCCATCAACCATATCTTCACTATCTTTGGTATTTGTACTTCCAGAGTAATTATGACATTCTTTGTCTTTTGCAACAACCACCTTCGGGTCAACATGACTACCCGAATCTAGCTCAAATACACAAGCATTGGTATTTCTACTTTCAATATTGGGCGATTTTGCAAAAAAAAGCCTCAACGGTTCTTTTATTATCACTTTTCTTCAACGGTTCTTTTATTATCACTTTGACATCACTAACAGACTTACTCTTTGTGCAGCTCGATTGTTTGTTCTTGTGATAGTCTTAGACTTTGCTTCCTTCGCTTGAATAGTAGTAAGCTGGTCAGATAATTGGTGTTTTTCTTTACATTTTTCGCCCATTTGTTGAAGTATCTGTGCAGCTTGTGAGTATTTCTGCATGTTCACTACAATCCTGGACAAAACATCTGCGACACTTCCAATTACTTGACAAAATGTCATAATATTATCGTAAATTTAGAACCCCCCCCTTACCCCCACCATTCAATGTTGATTGCATTCATAGAATACGGATAAAACATATCTTAAGACAGGGCTGTGTGAAATTTGCAAAGCTTATAAAAAAATCTCCACCGAAAACTCCGACAAGCGTGCGGAACGCGGCGGATGCGGTGGGCCCGCGGAGGATGTGGCAGACGGTGAAATTCATCGGGTCAACACCCACGGGAATTTCCAACAAAATTGTCAGAGCATGCGTATGCGTGCGGGGGTGCTTGTGTGTTCGTGACCACGGATGCGCGAGGACGGGGGAGGTAACCGGTAGGTAGAGGACCCCTAGGGCGGCGCGGGGAATTGGGCAACCGGAAGTGACGTCATCGATTCAACCGGAAGTGACGTCATCGATTCAACTGGAAGTGACGTCATCGATTCAACCCGCGCATGCGCAAACCGTCTTGTCCTAGAACCGGCCTATTTACACTACTGGCACTGACCCCTATCTCGCCCTGTTAGCATATCGCAACACCCCAGTTAATGAAAAATTGGGATCCCCAACCCAGAGATTATTTGGTAGAAGAACAAAAACCACCTTACCCACTTCGACCACACTATTAGAACCAAAGATAATTGAACCCAAAATAGTCAAAGAAACCCTCCATAAGAACAAAGAAAAACAAAAACAGTACTTTGACCATCACACTAAAGAGCTTTCAGTCCTTCAGGTGATAATGTTCGGTATGAGACCAACACTAGACTAAAAGCAGCAGTAGTGATTGAAAAGAGCCCAGATCGTACATGATCCGTACATCTAATGGGTTCGTACTGCGAAGAAACCGGAAACATCTATATGAATCTACTGGCATGAACAGATTGGAGAACTGTGATCTAGATGATGACAACATCACCGAGTACCAACCTCCACACCAAATACCAATTGCCGTGGGTAGGCAGCAAAATGGGTTAGAACCTGGACAAGCACCACAACCACCACAATTGTACACAACTCGAAGCGGTCGTGCTTGTCGTAAACCAGAAAGATTTCAAGCCAACTAAATGGAAAATAGGAAAAGAACAAAGGAACACTAAAATAGCAACATTGAAACTTTTTAGAGAATAAATCTAATAGTTGACATTATATAGCACACTAATAACATTAGAAAACTGTTTATGATTGACATTTTAAAAAAGACATTAATAGGAACACTAGGTAAACAATCTCCTTTGGGAAAAGGGAGATGTGACATTTATAAGTAGATGATTGACATTAAGTAGTTATGACGTAATGGATATAGATATATATGTAGGAGACAATTAGATAAGGGCCAGAGAGACTCGACATGGCGTGTGTCTAAACAAACACAATATTACACACACAAAGTTCCCCCGTCCGTACAGACCCAGCCAACGCCCTAACACACCCAATTCACAACACTCACATAATACTATTTCCAGTTATTTTTTTCTTGGTTCCCACACCCCCATGGAAAAATAATAATAATTATACACACACTACTGACGTTGCATTATCTCCGATTTTATCCGCCATTATATCCTAGATACTTCAGAAACTGCAAAATATGCGGAAAAGTCAATGAAAGAGTGTTATTTTTTATTCAGGAACTAACAAAAACAAATTTGTGATGTAAAATCTGCGAATAAGCTATTTTAAACTATAAGCTACTGCAAAAACAACAACAAGCACTATATGGATCAATTGCAAACATTATGCATATAACTACTCTTATTTATTGTGCAGTGTAGACCATTATTTAAGCCATATACTAGTAAATTCTTACAAAAAAAGACAAATATAATGTAAAACTACAAGTTTAAATAGTTTGCATGCATATTACTGACCTTTCTATGAATAAAAATGAAGAAATTAGTGTGTGAAAATCTCAATCTTGTGTCCTGAAAACCTGAAAGATGATGTTGCCATAAAAAATTGTGTGAAAGCTACACCATAACACACCATCTCACATCCTCTGACGTCCACGTCTTGTTATCTAAAACCATCTAGTGTTGCTATGGCAACATGATAATATAATTTTTATTATACTTTTGTACAACCAACGGCAAAAATAGTCGAAAGATTATTGCTTTAATTGCATAGCAAATATGATATTTTGGTTTCTATGTGCTTTATTTTAATGTAAAATTGAAAACGAAACTCTATGTAAAATGTTTTTAAATGTGAATTGAAATTAAACTGCTTTTTGCCGATCGCAATAACTTGAGCTCAACTTTATATTAATTCGTACAAATAAATTTAATTCGTACAGAACGCTAATGAAAATTATTTGCTTTCCTTTTTATCATGAACTTCTACAAAAGTTAATTTAATGATGAAACTTTCGCATACAATCCATAGGAAAGACTTGAACAACAAGAACAAAGTCTCTAAATATTAATACAAAGTCATACATAAACAATTGAAACAAACTTGCCCTATACTTTAGGATTTCTCATACTAAATCAATTCTTATAAATATTTATGTTTAAAAAAAGTTTGATAATTTGTTGTGTCAAATGATTTTCCAAGCTTTCTTACCATGTAATTTTTATATTTTCCCCTACTTCACTCCTGGCAAACAGCCATTTTTGGGATCAGTGAGATGACTACCCATACACCCATGAACCGCGCTCAAGATAATTGATGAACTTTAGACTTTGCTAGTGTGTTCCTTTCCCCGGGGGGAATTAGTAGCTTCGCCCCAGGCTTATGCCCGGAAATGTTATATATTCATTAGCTTTCCAATGCTCTTGTGTTGCTATGGATCTTGGTAGGTGTTGTACTTCTTTTGGAACAACATCTTTTAAATGATTGTCATACATTTTTTGTTTCAATGGCTGTCCAGTGTACCGTGGTTGTTGCTGTCGAACCAAAGAGATACGAGTTCTTGTGTCACTCCAAGTAGAGAACAATGAAGGAAATCAGGAACGAAACAATGAACAAGATCAAAATGTCCAAGTTTACTTAGCATACTCGGCCCTTCACGCCGGCCATAAAATGCGGGAAAAATCCACGCACGTTCGTGCATGTTCCGCCATGTTGCCTAATATCAATAATTGAACCTGAGTACGAAATTACGATAGTCGACCGAGCTACTTTTCCGCGTCGTCGTACAGCGATCGGTTAAAGCCGTCTTGAAATCGGTTACGTGTATTTAACGTAGCTTGACTAGAGCTTCGTTTTGACACCAAATGTGTATAGGTTTACAAATCCGTTTTTGCATCGTGAGCGAGTAAACATTGCGAAGTTTTGTTGTTGTCACTTTGGATTGTAGAGATGGGATTTTCACCCTTGTTTTATTTTGGACACCACTGCCTGTTTGAAAGGAACTTTACCTGTTCTGAATAACGTGAACTTTCATGTATAAGGTGTTGTTTTTTGTTTGGTGGATTTCAATTTGGAATCTTGTTTATTCGCACGATTTGATAAAGGACCTACGGTTACACGGCCTCAATATGCCGCGATTTAATATTGGCGAATACAGGAGAAAGAGAAAGCAGATGGAGGAGAAAAACTCGAGCAAAAGGTACAAAGCAGTAGCCAAATTATACAGATCGAAACGGAAATTGTAGAACGTGAAATCGTGCTGGCTAAGAAAAGAAAACAATCGCATGCAATGGACGAAAAGCTTAGAAATCTCGATGCAAAGGTATGATAGTAATTTTCACATGTAAATTAAGTCATAGTAAGAATAAAACGTGCCCCTGTTATTGGCATTTCCAAACCTTAATTTAAAGGTGTGTACTATGTAGAAATTAACTATACAGTATATACAGTACTTATCAAAATATTTCCTTACTCTAAACTGTTGTTTGTGATAGGTAGAGAACATAGTTAGTCAGATAGAAGACCTTGAAGATATTAAGCAAGAGCTGAGACAACCTGATAAAAAGGGTCGAGCTAGTCAATTGTCTGAAAAGGCACTGCAGAGTAGAAAGGACAATCCCACTGGTTTTGAGAATGGTAAAGTTACACTAACAACACCTAATGCAAGGATGAGAAGGAAGGAAACCTTTATGGTTGCCCAGGAAATCCATGGAGGTAGCAGGGAAAGTTCAGTACCAGGAGCTGTAGGTTTAGTAGACACTGCCTTAAACAAATGTAGTTCAAATGTATTAGTCGATGTAATGTCTGCCAACAAAAATTTCACGAAGCATGTTATGCCGTCTATATACAAAGGAAATTTAAAAGCATATGAGTCTTCAGAAGAGAATATGATCAGAAGCGTTAGTGTCTATTATTGTGGAGGCATAGCTGGTAAAAAGAAATATCGAAAAATATACCGAAATAGTTGTTATAAGACAAGTAATAGCAGTAAGGGTCGTGTCCGTCTTTCCATCCATGAATGCCCCATGCCAAGGCTTGTACCATATGACAAGCTTATGCCATTTATTAAATCGATAAATGTAGGTAATATTTACAGTGTTTACGATACTCTTTGTGATGATCTTGATGAAGATGATAAAGTATGCAGTTGTTATCGTAGCTTGAAGGAGCTGCTCCTACGTCTTGCAGAGTTTTACTTGTCTGGCAAAAGTGGTTATACCCTAACCTGGTTCGGAGAAGAATATACCTTTTTAATAACCTTAGGAGGGGACGGGGGCACCATTTGGGAAAGACGATACAGCAACTGCCTGGTTGGTAGGATTCTTATAAACGTCTAATAATCGCACGCGCAGTTTGAGTTGCCCGCGCGATTGTCCGCGCGCGCAATTTTCTGAGTTGGAAAGCCCTGATATAACCTGCCACTATTAAACCCCATGAAGCCTACTCCAGAATACCAGTAGTATTTAACATGTTGTTTTGTATGTTTAATGAAGGTTTGACCCTATGGTGCGGAGTTGTTGCATGTGATACGAAGCCAAACACAGTTATTTCAAAAGATTGGCATCATACTTGGGGAATTTTACAAATGTTGCTCTAAGCTTGGGAGAGCGTCATAAGCTCGCACATGTTATCTTTTGAGTTCGCAGAATGGTCAAACTCCAAATGAACCTCTAGCCAAGAAACCAAAGATTGGTAATTTAAAATTTGAAACTTGTTAATTTCCAGTTTTAATCAAAATCTGGTTTGAAATAACTTTGGTTGTATTCTGCCAATTATTTTCTAGAGTCTGGAAAACAAGTTGTTGCTGGAGATAGTGAACATTTTGACATGTTGAAAGAGAAAGAACCATCCCTTGCTGACACTGATATCTTGTGCATGTAAGTAAAGAGATTTCAGTAGCATTAAATAGTAGATACCATATGTTCAAACTATCCCAGATCAATGCAGATTGTGATGGTGTGTGTGTGAGATGGCGAGTTTGTTAGACAATCTTTATTTCCCAAGTATTTATTTAATATTTTCGTTGCATGGATATTTTTAATATGTTTACCCAAGAATGAAAACTTAAGACAACACCCTAAATTCTCGCCTCCAAAGTTAGGTTGACCCAAGGCCACCGATATCTTTAATCTTGCTTTAGGCCTGTTTTGACATACAAGCATTAAATTCAATTTCTTTACATTATTTAGGCCAAGAACTGTTTCACTCCATGGTACAAGTTACAGAGTTGGTGCTATTGTGTATGTTGGATATGTCGACGAGCTTCCTGCTTTTGCATCCATTCAAGGAATTTTTGTACTTGGTACAAAGATTTATTTCATTGTGAAGAAACTTGAAACAATAATCTTTTCAAGCCATTTCCACTCCTATGAGGTTCGAAGACCAGCACATGCAGATTTGTTTGTTTTAGAGCCAGAGAAGTTGAAGTTATACCTTCCAATGCATACAGTAAAGGCATCCAGATGTCAAAATGGTCAATTGTATGTGACACCCAGATATCTGCCAATGTGAATTTTGTAAATACATGTACAGTAGTTGTATGTAAATTAAGTATTCAATGATTAAATGATTGTGTAAAACTAATTATACATGTAATTCTAAACAATAATTGATTGACTCACTTCATATTTTATATGCTGGACACCTTAAGTTAATCCTCTATAATTCTATTAACCAATGGTTAATCCTCTACTGGATTTTAAGCATTCACTCTAATACCAGACAATTTTACTTTTTAGCGATAACACTGATAGCACTGACAGTAAATGGGTTTACAGGGTTAGTTATAGTATTAGTAAATAGATTAGGATTAAATTTGGTAATGATGGCATGTTTTGTGTTAGCTTATGGACTAGGGTGCACAGACTTGTCATCTAACATACATTTTTATATACCCCCACTTTATGTACAAGGATTCCCACAGCAGTGCATGTGTGAGAGGAGTAGCCAGGCCCAGCCCCCGTGAGAGAATGTTGCCCCTCTGGTATATCTAACTTTTGTGTGCTTTAGTTAAGTTGCCTCACCCCCACCCCGGAAATCCTGGCTATGCCTCTGGTGAGAATAAGGATTAGGGGTTAGGGTTTGTTATGTATGGTCAGGATAAAGCATATTTCGTAGAACATATGCATCCACAAAGGTTTATTAACACAAGCAGCAATCATTTGTACAATTTATAAATCTTTAATCTATTTCAACTATCCATACTGCTGATACTGTTAAAAAAATGTTGCCATTCTCCAATAGAGTCTGTCATCTTTAAAGTGGGACATTCTTCTTCACCCTGTACAGGAGACACATCAATTGTTTTGTTTGGTTCATGAGCATCAGTTTCAAGGATGATAGTGTCATCTGACTGATAGTCCTCTTTTCTTTTTTCTTTTTTTTGTTTCTTCACTTTCTTTTTTTCTTTTTTTGCCTTTTTTCTTTTCCTTGTCTTTTTTGCTATAACCTCATCCGACAGATAAAATTTATATTATTAATGAAATAAAAATTAGATAATGAAATTCCTAAATAGCTAATTATATATAATACTAAAACCTGGATTAAAAGAAGTGTTTCCAAGGGTGGTGCAACAGGGGTCTAAAGGCAGATGGGGGGATTGTGTCTAAGCCCCCCCCCCCCGAATGTTTTAAAATTGGCTAAACGTGTACTAAAAAGTCCATTGAAAATAAATTTTTGTTGCATACAAGGAACCGAGTCTCAGAATGCACGAAATAGCGTTTTAGAGTGTGTGTGTGTGTGTGGGGGGGGGGGACGTTAAACACGGTAGACATTTTCTTGTTTTTTTGTCGCCAAATTTTGGAGAATTAGCCCCCTCTCAAACTAAGAGTAAGACATCTAACGCCACTGATAATTTCAGCCGACATCTTATGTTGTATAAGGATATTTCTGAACAGGCATGATGCAGAATTAATAAGGCGGTATTTAAAACAGTGCCTCACTATTCATGTATTTATAATAATCGGGTCTTATTTTTGTTATAAACCGTATTATACAGTTTATAACAAAAATAAGACCCAATTATTATAATAGAAACACGCTGACCTTTTCCTTCACCTCATTCTTCTTTGTTTATACTTTTAGTGTCATGTTTAACTCCTTTTCGACCGGCCCTGTGAAAACTATTGCAGAACTGCAATAGTATTTTGGAGGTTCATATCTTTGGTTCAGTACATGCTACGTAGATGAAAATACCACCATTCGATTCAGCGAAATAATATGTCATGATTCCTAGTGATAGTTTTAGTCAAAGAAAAACGTTATAGCGATTTATGACCTTTGAAGGGTCAAGAGGTATCATATTTCAACAAATTACATATTTGTTCGAAAAATGTAAACAATGTATCACTAAAGTCATACATTTCGCCGGACACAACTTCGGCCCCTTCGAACATGTGTTATTCGTTGTAGTCTTGTTCGATTCACAATCAAAAACACTAATTCCTTTAGATGAGCAAACTATATCTAAGTCTGCATTTATCACACCACGAGGATTGTTTGAATTTATTGTTATGCCATTTGGCATGAAAACTGCCCCTGCTATTTTTCAAAGAATGATGTGTAATAATGTATTACAGGGTTTAGAATCTTTTGCAGATGCTTACATTGATGACGTGGAAGTTCATACAGCAACCACATTTGCGCAACATTTGATACATCTCCAAACATTTCCAAAACCGGAAACCAAAAAGCAAGTTCGTTCATTCTTAGGGCTTACTGGATATTATCGTAGATTTGTAAAAAATGATGCTGATATTGCCGTCCCTTTGACAAACTTGACAAAGAAGGGAGAACCTACAAGGGTACGCTGGACAAGGGTACGCTGGACAAGCGCATGTGAAAACGCGTTTTCTAAGTTAAAATCAATGTTAAAGTCACCTCCAGTGTTAAGACTGCCCAATTGGGATAATTTATTTATTCTACAAGTCGATGCTTCTGATTTTGGTGTAGGAGCTATTCTTAGTTAGATATGGAAGACCGGAACATCCAGTAGCATTTGCAAGTAGAAAACTAAAGCCTAGAGAAATGAAGTTGTTGACAACAGAGAAGGAGTGTTTAGCGATAGTGTGGGCTGTAGAAATGTTTCGCTACTATCTGTTTGGGAGAAAGTTTAAGCTCCAAACAGATCATAATCCTTTAGTGTGGTTAAACCAGGTAAAGAAGAAATTATTGAGATGGAGTTTAACTCTTCAAGAATATGACATTGAGCTAGAGCACAAAATTGGAGAGAAGCACATGAATGTGGATGCTTTGAGTAGGTTGCCATAGCTTTGAGACGCAAATGATTCATCCAACTTCAATAGGGGAAAGTTTCGTTTCGGCCGCTCCCTCTCATATGCGTTCACAGGAGATGTATTCTTGTTATTTTTCTGTAGTTTTTTTAAGAAAGAAAAAAAGAATCTTAGAAAGTAATAGGAATTAAGTTGTAAAAAAGATTCAGTGCATGTAATAAGTAATTGGATCTATTACATTCGTAATAAGATCTTTGGTGGGGAGGTGTACCGAATTATGTAAATATGACGTAGAAATAATTCATGATGTAAATATGACGTAGATGCAAATTAATTTGGTAGCCATAAAAAGTGGCAACCATGTGCTAATATCAGAGAGAGCCAAAAAGCTTAACAAAGAGAAGTGGCATGAGGTAGAAGTGGTACTTTGGGTGGTGAATTGAAAGTCAAAAGGATATAAGTTGTTGAAGTCGCAAGTAAATGGTCTTCGGTGATCGTACTAAAGGGCAGCGAATGGTGGTGTCTTCGATGACAACCAGCGCTCTGATGATGCGAAGTTCAATGTATGGTAACTCAACCGTGATTTGAAGTTGACCTTGACCACCATCAAAGATAACTACGAAAGGCTAGATAATTGTACACCTATTCGCCGGGAAAGAAGTGCGGAAGTGCCGTGAAATCTTCTCTTCAAACTGGCTCGTATGTATTAGTAGATAATTATAGTTGTTCAATTCTTCAAACAGTTAAGTAATAAAGTTTTCTTAAAATAAACATTGCTTGTGTGCCGGCGCTCACGTCGACGAATCAAGGAAAAATTTGTCACAATATGATGTCTGCTGAAGGCATTAAGCTGGATCCTAGGAAAACGGAGGCTATAAGACAGATGCCTCTGCCAAAAAACTGCACCAAATTAAGATCGTTTTGAGGAACTTGTAGTATTGTCAGCCTCGTGGGTTTGTCCTTCTTTGCATCTTAACTGATTACTCAGCTTATCTGAAGTCTTTGCTAAATCCTGCGAATTTAATGAACTCAAAAGTGAAATGATTCGAGATCAGATAGAAGAGAAGTGTTATTCGAGGAAACTAAAGGAATGTCTGCTTCAACGGGATGAGAGATTTATATGACCCAAGATGCAATTTGTTTCTTTTGGTTGTGCACTCTTTTCCTAATATAAAATTATGTTGGGCCAGACAGGCCTACTGTAGAAACTATCAAAGCTAACACCCGTATTCTAAAAGCTCACTCACACTCAATGAGTGGAGGTTCAATCTGAGCTTCTCTTGAGTGTCCATGCTGTTTCTGAATAGCTAGGGTTAGTGTCATACCTTACTATGTGACTACTCACCTTCCAGCTATTTAAAAACAGCAATGACACTCAAGAAAAGCTCAGATTGAACCTGCACTCATTGAGTGTAAGTGTGAGTGATCTTTTAGAATACGGGTGTAAGTGTAGACAAACAAAAAATATTTGACACATATGTTCATTTTTATCTACTTAACCCAACAAAATTACTCATTGGTAAAACAGTACTGCCAGTTATAACAGTGAATATAAATCCATAGTGAGTATTTGTAAATATTTTTAATTTCGGATACACCCATGATAGCCTATCTTCACAATTTGTCCCAATAAAAAGAGTCAAAGGAACAACCTCTACTTTGACATGACACTACAAACAGAAGACGCGATGTACCGGACTCTCAAATAAGTTAAACCAACAAAACCTGTACCTTTAGAGTAGTTTTGCTCTGTGCTATAAATAGTGGCCAGACAACACAGTGTGATATGGAAATCCAACAGAAACCGTGTGATATGGAAATCCTTGTATCCCTTTATGGTAAAATAATTTCATCTTCTGTAACAAAAGTCTGTATACCTACAATTTCAATAATATTTCTTTTGTAAAGAAGAACAGTGTGACTATGTGAAACTTAATGTGGCATATTGGCTAAATTAATAGTATATTACAATAAGAACTAGTTTCACCCTCTGTTACACTTTGTTGGGCAGCTTTTTGACTTGTTTGGAGCTGTTCCACTTCATCAATTGTAGAACATCTTGGTTGTTTGATAGTTGGATCGATCTTGACAGCAGCAGAATTATGTTGCTGTTGCAGAACATGTTGATTTTTTGTTAGTTCATCTATTTTGACAGAATTGAAACACTGGTCGTGTTGTAGAACATCTAGGTTACCTGTTAGATAACTCATGTTATTCTCAATTTTTTCAAATCGTTTCTCGCATTGTTGTAAATAAAGTTGAACATTGTGTGGCATCATCTCCATGTATCATCAAATTATTCATTTCTTTCTCCTCTTGGCTTTCAAATGTCATCTTCTCTACGTCACTTGACAATTTACAAACGTGCTCTAGTACCACTTTTGCAATAGCTCGGTTATGCTTCTTGTATGTTGAGCCAAACACAAGAATGTCAGTGATGTTACGAACCCCATCAAAGTCTTATGATATTTGGTGCCAGTTGTCTTGGAATATTTCGGCTGTGAATATGTGCCCATAATTGAGACTTTTAAAACAATATAACCCCACATGTGTATTGTGATTTGGTGATGTTCCTAGGTGCCGGCGATATAAACTAGAGTCCAATTTGGTAAATACCTGTTCAATGCATTATTTCTTTATTAACCGACGTTATAGTGCATCTAGTTGCGACTTCTGACAAATTCAAAGGTAGAATTAAAAAAACAATGCATTTTACTTTTACAGACTTTATAAAATGTAACATAATGCCATTGTAAAATTTGAGTAGGTCCCCCCCCCCCTATACACCGACAGATCTTATTAACAGTCAGTCCGTTGCCATCAGTTGCCTTATTCCAGGATTGTAACATACTGAGTAGAGCTATGGTTTTACTTAAGTTTGGGATTGCCCCATACTGATTAGAGTCTATTCTCTTAAGTACAGCTGGTTTAACATAGTTTTCCACTAGCTACTTTTGATACAATCGCAGTAGGTGATATGGGCCTTGGATGTTTTCTGAGGGAAATATCATCACTGAGGGTAATATTTTGACGAATCCCCCGAGCGGAGGGTCAATAAATGATATATTATACCAAAAGTTAAAGAACCACCAAGTTCAGAATAAACTTTAAAGTTTGAGCTCAATACAATTTTTAATTTCCTATGTATACCTGAGTTTTTGACATTTTCTCTTTAAAATATTTGAGCATGTATCCTTTGGATCATTGAAGGTAACATACGTCTTGAAAATCTTCTGTACGAAATCACACACAAGAGCTCGCGAATGCCATATTGTTTCAGAGTGTGTGTCACCATGAGATACTATAATATCCCACAGTTGATCTACTGTGGGATATTATAGTATCTTGCGCTGCATTGCAAAATCATGAATTTGAGTGAAATACCGTAAAAAATCACATTGTCACGTGGTACAAATGTGGTTTTTTTATTGGACAATTTGAATTTGAGGTATAATATTGAATGAAATACTACAGTTTCATTTTGAAGAAGCAGTTTTGAAAATGCTTAAAATTACATTAAATCGGCCTATCAAATTAACATTTAATTTAATGCTGTTCTTGTCAACACAACGCACAATAAATAATATTTACACATTTGATGAAAAAGCATGTCCTTGAACACCTGTACAACGTTGTGCTCCGTTAACCATGCCAAAAAAGCACTTTGTATCATTTGTGCATCTAAACTTTGGCATGCTAAGATAACTGCCTGGTGGGAGCTGTCTCAAATTCCTAGGCTGTTGCTCATGCAGGACGTTCGAGATTTGTTGCTTCAACTTGAACTTTGGTATTCGAATTTTTCATTTCCCACAAGGCCCAAAAGGTCAAAATATTTTATGTAAACCATAAAATAATACAACATTTAAGCTAACTTCTTTAAAATTTTCAATACGCCCGAAAAAATAGGGCTGTTTTAGTCGATTTTTTTCACCAATTTTCAAACCGAACTTTGCCTAAAAACATATCTAGCACTGTACACCAAAATTTAGGTTAGCATTTTCTTAATACTATAAACTTATTTGAAAGACATACCTAGTTTTTACATTATGTTATAATCAAACACCGAAACTTGTTTTGAGACACACCCGGTTCATTACATGCACAACAAAGTTCATAGCATTTTTGAACTTCGCCAAGAATCTGGATATCTTATGCCAAAATCATGATGGACCTCCATCCAGTTGACACGTCTGTTGTCCTCCGATGCGTCAATGTCATCTAGCTAATCCAAGTAGAAATCCAAGTAGAACTTGGTCTCTATACAGTGTTGGTGGGTTAGGGTTTGCTTGTTGAGGAAGCCAAGAATATTCCAGCGGTTACCCCCATTTGAATAATAGATGGCGCCATGTTGGTAGTTCCCACTCAAGACAAACACTTAAAACAATAACTTTCATCATTTGAATAGTTTCAAATGTATTTGGAATAGGCTCTTAACTTCTAATATTTAAGTTCCCTGTTTAAGAAATAGAAAACATACCAATCTTCTCATTTGATGGGAATACCATGAGCCTGCAATCACTGCTTCAATTTTTTAATCGCAGAATAATTAGATGTACTATCTAGTGTATATAAGATATCTATGAGTCCGGCGGGTGCACGCTGTAGCCACCAAGGGTTTTCTCTTCTCACTTCTGTACAATACTCAGCGTGACGATATCCCAACAACAGCTTAAGATCACCGAACATCCATTTCTCAAGGTTGGTCATCTCTCTCGCTGCTGAATGCCTCATCACACGAGCACGATTCAGCAGTTCTCTAGCTGTATGGAACATCCTTGGAGCCTAGAGAATGTAGTGTTGTACATCGTATGTTGACACCAAGTTGCTGTGGATTGAAGTATTGACGCTTCAACAGGTAGTTGACAGCATCCATTATGTGGGTCATGTGAATACGAATTTCCATACAAATACCACCAACTAGTTGTGGGTTAGAAAATTGAACATTCATTATGCCATTAAGTTTATCAAATGAATGTGCTCCTTGATGGGTCGTGACAAGAGAGGCTATGGGATCGGGATTGCAAGCACAGAGTAAAAGGTATTGCAGATTATAAACCTTCATGCTGATGACTTCCTCAGCTTCATTGACACAGATGCAACTTGTAACGTTCTCAAGAAGAGCGAACGAAATGGCACAAAATAGAAACAGAAAATCAAGCCAACTGCACAGGTGCTGAAAATGTACAATAACTCTGCCATTAACCCTCTCGGAAAATGCAAAGTTCAACTGCAAAATCCTGCCTCCAAGAAGAAATATAAAGTCAATTTCACAATCATCAATGACCAGGACGCCACAAGCATTCTCCTGGGGTGTAGCACCATACAAAGTCTGGGACTAATTCACACAACGACACCTGACAAACCCATACGCCACGTCACCAACATATCCGCATGTCATCACTGATAGCACTCCAAACCAGACAGGAATGGCATTGGAAGATATCAAAGCCTCTTACAGCAACGTATTTGAAGGGCTTGGGCTCCTCAGCCCCGAATTACACCTCAACATTGATGAAAGTGCAAAACCAGTTCAATTGCCACCACGCAAGGTCCCTGAATCTCTCAAGCAGTCACTTAAAGCCCACTTGGACGAGCTTGTTGCCCTTAGTATTATTGAAAAGCTAGAAGCACCAACGGAATGGATTAGCTCTATTGTGGTAGCCCCAAAACTGAACGGGAAAATTCGGCTGTGCCTCAACCCCCAACCACCACCCACTACCCAACAGCATTGTCCTTACGTCAGACAGCATCCAAGCAGACCCAGCAAAGATCCAAGCCATACTCAACATGCAGCCACCGATTGATGTTGCTGGCATTCATAGAATCTTGGGTACTGTGAACTACCTAGCAAAATTTCGTCCACATCTATCAGAAGTCTCAGAGCCGCTTCGCTAACTCACCAAGAAAGAGCAACCCTTCGGCTGGGACAGCACACACAACCAAGCATTTGCAATGATCAAATACCTTATCACTGAGCCTCCTGTCCTGAAATACTATGAGCCCGCTTGCCCATTAGTTCTACAGTGTGATGCCAGTGATCACAGCTTGGGTGCAGCATTCATCCAGAACAAAAAGCCCATCGCCTTTGCCAGCAGAGTGTTGACTGACGCCAAACAAAATTATGCACAAATTGAGAAAGACCTTCTGGCAATAGTATGTGGAACAACATGCTTCCACCAATACACATATGGTTGTTCAGTCACGGTCGAAACAGATCACGAGCCCCTTGAAATGATATGCTAGAAACCCCTTTCCACTGCTCCAAGGCGTCTCCAGAAAATGATGATGGAATTACAACCTTAGAATTGCTAAAGAAATTCCTTTGTCCGTGGGCAAGAATCAGTCAAGACCTCAAGACAAGCCCGACAACTCCAACAGCGATTGTCAGAGACCACAAAGCGGAGGAAATTCTGGGCATAACAGTACTCAGCCAGAACAGCCAAATCAACAATGACGTAATCAACAACGTGGCAATAGTCAGAACGAAAACAGTTTTACCAAAAAGCCTGTTACAGTTATAGTCGGTGATTCCATGGTAAAAAATGTGCGTGGATGGGAACTCTCAAACCCTATCTAAAAAGTTATCGTCAAATCCTTTTCTGGGGCCACAACAGAGGATATGGAAGACTACCTGAAGCCAGTATTGAGAATGGAGCCAGAGAATCTGATTCTACATGTAGGTACTAATGACTTAAGATCTATTGGTCCTGCAGAACTAGCCAAATCCATTCAGTCATTGGCAATAAACATTGAAGAGAATTCTCCAAACACCTCTGTTTCCATCTCAGCAATTCTGCCAAGAAAGGAGTCACAGATAAGTAAAAACGCTACTCTTGTTAATAATTCACTCAAGTTGATTTGTAGTCAACACCATTGGAATTTTTTTGAACATAAGAATATCAAACAGAGTCATTTAAATCGGGGTGGTATTCATCTATCCAAAGTTGGCAGTGATATTCTTGCTAACAATTTTAAATTTCATATAAACAACGGATAGGTATGTTCCCTGCCATGTGAATCCACTAATGAATATACTAATAACAGCACAATGCCTTTGGGTCACTTCAATGCGAAGGAATCTTTATTGTTTGTCCCAACCAATAGTGGTTTTAAATTAGCAAGTTTGAATATTACTAGTCTACCAAAACATATTGACGAATTGAGAGTTTTGCTTGCAGACAGGGCCGGTTGATGTTTTGTCAATTAACGAGACAAGGCTTGATAACTCTGTAGCAGATAGCGATGTTAATATTCCAGGCTATGAGATTATTTGCAGAGACAGAATGACAAATGGTAGATCTGGTGGTGGTGTTTTCTTTTATGTTCGCACCAGTGTCAATTACTGTTTATGTTCTGATTTTAATATCAATCAACTTGAAAATCTATGCATTGAAATTCGCAAGCCTAATTCCAAGCCTTTTCTCGTCGCAACTTGGTATAGACCTCTCAATTCCGCAGTTGAGATTTTCACACATTTTGAGTTACTTATTGGTAAGCTTGATGCAGATAATTTAGAATACTATCTAATGGGTGATATGAATTGTAATTTGGCATCTTCACCGTTAGATAATAATGCCAATTTGCTCATTCTGTTGCTGATGTTTATGGCATGCAACAACTAATTACTGACCTGACACGCTGTACCGAATTAGCTTCTACATTGATTGATCTTATTTTTACTGATAGTCCCGAAAGGGTTGTTTGCTCAGGTGTCTCGCATGTCAGCATAAGTGATCATTACCTTGTGTATGCCTTTCGTAAACTATCTATAGATCAACCGTCAAGGGGCCACACCACTGTCAATTACAGAAAATTCAAAAATTTTAACTCTCTAAGTTTTCGCATTGATATCTCCCAACAACGTTGGGACAACATTTATCACTATGATAATCCCAACGATATGTGGGAGGCTTGGAAAGGTCTATTTCTTGAATGTGTTGACAATCATGCCCCTTTACGAACTAAGCGTGTTCGCTCACGCAAGTCGCCATGGATAACTCCACGGCTAAAAAAGCGATTGCATGAGCGAGATGTACTTAAGCTAAAAGCGACTCGATCAAAAGAACCCAACGATTGGCGAAATTTTAAGATAACAACATAAAACGCTCACTGAGTTTCCAGCGATATACATACCCTTTTCTAGATATATACCTAATAATAATAAACGAACGAACGAATGTATTCCTTCCACTCGTGAGCTCATTTACCATTGTCACATATGGTAAATGTCCAG